CAGTGTTATACAATTTGTCTTGGATGAATTCTAAATTAAAATAAAACGATTTATCTTTTTTGTTTTAATTCAATCAAATTTTCTTTCGTCTACCTACTTCAGAATTATATTACACATAAATTCGTGTGTGTGTGTGTGTGTGTGTGTGTGTAGGTAAGGCTGAATAAACAGATGAACGTACTAAAAAAAGGTGAAGAAAATTTGTAGTTCAAATGGTTATTTATGGCCTATAATCTAGCTGTAATATTTATGACTGATCGAGTATACTATGAAATAAATCTGCCCCCATTAGTTTCCGTATAACTATACTTGGTCGAACATCGTTTGTGCGACGGTGGTAATAAGAAGCTATATATGGATTCGGTTGGATGAGTTTATTTCAGACATGAGAACGAAAAGTATACAAGCAAAGCGAGGCGAAGTGAAGTGGAGAAGGTGAGTGAGCCAACTCAATTCGATGAAGCTTGAGTAAGCATTTATAGTCAGACACAAAGTAAGCCAGATATGTAATATACAAGGCAGGCGTGCACAAACACGAATTAAAGCAACGAAGATATGAGCGAATGACTGAGAAGGTCAAAAGACTAGTGTGCTAATTATTATTTTGTCCAAAAATTAAGAGAGCGCTTTAGGCTAGACATAGAAGCACTCACCACAACACGTTACATATATATATGTGTGTGTGAGTGCAGGTAAATACACATAAGCTGAATAAATAAATAAGCGTACTACAAATGGTGGAAAAAATTTGTATTTCAAATGGATAATTATGCAGTGGAGTTTCGGCGTAGTTTAATTCTATCAAATACTAGAAGTTTTAGCTTAATATTTATTGATAAACTTTATTAGATCGCTTTTTTAAATAATCTGGACACACGATAGAGAATATTTGTTTTCAGCGGATAAAGTGTCATTATTACCTATATTTTTTATTATAGAGTTATGGAGATTGTTGTTTTACATCAAACACCGTTAGACCACCATTAGAAACTTGGAAAAACTTGCCAGCAGTTTCGTCCCAGTATGGGATTCTTCAGCAGCTTGCACCCACTAGCGGGAATCGAACTCGGGAGACTCGGTTTTGCGGGCGAACAGTTAACCTTTAGACCACTGAGTCGGTATCCGACTGTGTTAAACATTCGCATAAGAAGCCCAAGCTTCAGTTCCCTAGAGCGGAAGTAGTGGATGCACACTGCTGAAGTGTCCCATACCAGGACGAAACTGCTGGCCAGTGCTTCCAAGTTTCGAATAGTTATCTAGGATTAATTGATTCACGATTCTAATTATTTCTATGATTATTAAAGAATTAGAATTATTTTTATTTTCCCGTTAGATTTGGTAAAGGACGTCATCTGTTATTAACTATTGTTATTTGATTGATATAATACTATTATTCTCATTATTACAAGCATTATTAAAATAAATTTTTGTGAATAAATCTGGACTACATTTCCTTTACTCATTAACAAGTTCCTAACAAAAAATATTTGTGAACGAAATAAATAAATTATTTCTGAGTGATTAAAAACGTTCGGCTTGATATATGAACAATCGTTTGGTTATAAACCTACACCAAAGTCAGAAGTTTCGATAAAAATGCCAAGACAGTTATACTGTATGAAGCGGATTCTTGGAGAACCACGAAAGCTAACATCCACAAGATAAAAGTGTTTATTAACAGTTGTCTACGCAAAATACTTCAGATCCGTTGGCCAGACACCATCAGTAACAATCTGCTGTGGGAGAGAGAACAAACCGGATTCTAACAGAGAGAGAAAACAGGAAGAGGTGCTGGGTGTAAATACGATAAACAATGCAGAAATCACCCAACTGTGTCACAAGACAAGCTGTAAACTGGAATCCTCAAGGACAAAGAAAAATAGGAACACCAAAAAACAAATTACTTCGAGAAATGGAGATACACATGAAAAGAATGAACAACGATTTGATAAAACTGAAGAAGGCCCAGCACATATTCAGTTGTAGAATACTGGTCGGCAACCTATACTCCATTGGGGGTAACAGGTGCAAGTAAGTAATTTAGATATAAATTAGAGCAAATTGACTTTTGAAAACCAAAGTTCAGTGTAAAACTTCAAAAGAAGAATAAAATAAAAGATTTATTCCGAAAATTGTAGAGGAAATAAAACAGAGAGCTATTTTTTCAGTAAAGAAATAATAAAATAGTCTAAACTTTAACCAACACAATTATAAAAATGAGAATTCAAAATTACCAATTACGTGAAAAAAATCAAGTGGTCAATTCTAAAAGAATTTTTAGAAATTTACACTACACTACTATCAAGTAGTATTTAGTTTATACAATTGGAAATAATTAGCAAGTCATTTGAAAAATATAGATATACATACTTAGGAAATAACAGTATGTGCTTGAAGGAAAGCATCAAGAGGTACTTAACATAGATTTCGTGTTTGGTTGATGATATGATTTCACTAGTGGTAATATTCGAACACGATAGAATCCGACTTGTCCTTTGAGAATAGACAAACATGATATAAGTTACTACTCAGTGGACCAACCAATGAAATGATTGGAATTTATTACAAAAACAAACTAGAAATTTTACTTCACATGACTATTCAACTGCTTATCATCATAAATGTTAACATCTTCATTTAATTGATAAATTGCTCTCATTCGGTTTATGAAACCAACACTAGAATACATTTCCAAAGTCTAGTGTGTCAATATAGACCTTATTCTTGTTTTTAATAATGCAGTTGAACAAATCAAAACAACCACTAGTAAACTCTTGTAATCAATACGCTAATAATAATCACAAATACTTGATCTCTTGATCTATATTAAAGACTTAGTTCTCAGCTGTCCAGATAAATGTGCTGATGAATTGACAGGATTGGATTATAAAGCAATCTACCATGTAGCGAATAATGGCAAGTTTTCTAGAGAGTCTATCCAAAAAAAGACATTACCTAATCAGAAATTAATTAAAGTCCATAAGAAGTAACATGACACATTCATTAATGGTGACCTTGACGAATAACTTAGACTATCTAGTGATGCCATCCGAATATAATATGTACATACCAATACCTCTTTGAAGATCATACTAAGCATGACTACTAATAATAACTAGCGGAATTGATACCTACTATCAATCATTTCAATAAATACCGCAAACTTAAATCATTCGATTTTGATGAATCAATTAGAGACATCATTATGGCCGCACAGAACTTGATGTCACTACATGTGACTGTATTGTACAAAAATATTCCGCAAACTGAAAAAAATTCATTCCTTATGTGATTCTATTTGTAAACAATAGTTAAAATTACAACTTGAAAGATCGGAAAGAAAATTCTCTTCATGTATATCGTTTAAAGCAGATGCAGTAACGAAATTCGATAAATCAGCTTATGAAATCTATGGAAATATCTTATTCTATCAAGCTTCATATTGGCTTATTCAACCACGCGCTTAAGGCTACATTAATGTTCGAATAAGTTTACGTGTTCTTGTGGAGCAAGTTACATTGAGTGCACTTATCGAGTGCTTGTTAAAGTTGTCTCCGAGAACTAACCTGATCGGATATTAAAAAGAATTTAAAACAAACTCTGACCACACACTCCTCACCCAGAATTCTGTAAGCGGTCAAACCATTGGGTTAATATGGACAAAAATTAATGACTGAAGAGGTACTAGTGATTCGACGTTTGAAATTTATTATCACTAACACTTTTTGAATAAATTCTCAACGTTTCTTATTCGCATCAAATTGGTACTCATTTTTGAAACATTTAGTTTCATCTTAGCATGTTGTGCTAACGTCTATATAACCACGTAATTGTCATTTAACACCTTGAAATTATATAATCCTCTCTCGATTTTTCAAAAGACTACTTCTACTAGTTAGATACCTAAAATACAGACAGATACAACGCAGAACTTCGTACGTACGTACATCCGTTCAGGTTGCCGTAACGCATTAACACAGAGACGCAACTGTCAGTTCAAATCCAATGGTGGTAGAGATAGTAGAAATATTACCGGTAATGTAGAAGATTACGGTTCGAAGATATTATTCAAGAAGTGTAATTCGATGAGATAACTGTAGAAAGAGAAAGATAGAGGTGATAAGGAATTAACAAGTTTAGGATTTGAGAGAATACAACGACTGGATGAACGTGCGCCATTGCAAACGGTTTTGAGCTATTCCATTCAGCATCTCTAACCATCAGTGACTTTCGTCTCGACGACCTCAACCAGGTAGTTGACACCTACCAACATGACTCAGACAACTTGTCAGTGATTTCATAGATATGTGCCATGTTTTGGTTTGTCCGCCCCTAGCTTTCTTCCAACCTACACCTACACCACAAAACATCGCTCATCGAAGCAGTCGGTGGTTAGGCGTATGTAACACGTGTCCAAACCAACTCAACTAATAAACTTTCAATACCTAAAATGATGATTCCTTTGCCAATAACTTACTAAACAAACATCAAAAACCATCATACATTTTTTTAATGGAGATAACCACAGTATATACACTACCCTATAAAATTGTTTCATAAAACTGTGTGTATGTGTTAGAGATGTTAGATCCCCAGTACTCGCTTGATAAGTGCCTTATCTTGGATTTCACATTAGCGAACATAGGCTGATCAGTTGACCTTGAGATTCCATTTCCCACCAGGAAAATCCTTACCTGTGATTGACTGCTGTGTATTTTAGTGTGCTATTTTTGTAACTGACCAAAGGACGTTTCTATGATGTATAAATAAACGAGAGTTGTGTGATTGATTGTATTGTACTTGCTGGGTGTTTGTAGAATATACTTTCTACGCTTATCAAGACTTCTGTTTTGCAGTTTGGAGACTAAGGTAGCCTACCTGGACGCTAGGTCATCATTGTCTCGTTCGTGTTTATCGACCTAAGGTGAACTCGTAATAGCTTCAAGCGTACCACCCAGTGACGAACTTAACAGTGTACTATCATTAAAAGAAATCAGTAATTATCATATAAAACTATTTATTAATTAAGGATTAACATAAAATAAACATGACAAAAACGAAAATAGGAATCAATGTAGCACAGTCTTCTTTTCACACACACACACACACAAACACACACACATATAAGCACATACCAATGAATAGAAAACTTTAATTAATTTACAAATATTCATATATATATATCGGTGTTTCACATGGAAAAGGAAATGAATTACATCACTGAAACAAATGTGTAATTTTCTTTCTTTTTTTTGTCATCGAGCAATTACTACTACTAATCCCTGTTAGTAGTAATACTTATAACTAAAAAAAGCCGACACTTGTACAAAGAAAAAAAAGACCATAATACATGTATGAAGTAAGTAAGAAATAGGTGGCTTAAAAAAACACAAACAAACACAATACATTAAGATTTATATATTATAATATCCAATAATTAAATTTATCCGACAATCAAATAATTTTTCAATAAACAATGAAATAAGAGTTCAATGTACACGCACACACGCACACACTATATATATGTATATGTATATACAACACCACACCACAATACAAATACTTACAGAACAATATTGAGAAATAGAAACAATGAAAGAAATAAAGGTAAGACAATAATAAAACAACAGCGAACAATAAAGCCAAAGACAAGATAGAAAAAAAATATACACACATGACGTAATATTAATAATAATATCAAGGCGGAATGAATGAAAGATTGTATGTAGGATGACAATGATTAAAAAAAATACAACCATGTCAACAATCATGAATCATAGAAATAATAGAAACAATAAATAAACCATGTAGAAGAATACTTCCTACTTTGCATAGAAACTTCACTGTGAATAGTGAATAGTGAAGTGATACAACAATAACAAAACATAAAAATATATTACACATCGTATAACATTGAAGTATTATCGATGCTTACTTATATAATATGAGTAGTAGTATGTGTGCACGTATTAATTTGGTACAAACCATTGAAAATATTAACAACAACAACAACTTAAAAAAAATTACACAAACCTACATATCTCCTCTGTTAGACACATTAATGATAACATTGCAATCATCATCATCATACCGCGGAACCAACTAACTGTTCATGCATGAAACACACACACATGCACATTCACCGCACATACACACGCACACAGTTGACTTTTGTTTTGAATACAAAGTTGTTGTCGTTAGTTGAATGGATGAGTTTCTGTTGAGAAATATATATATATATATATATATATATATATATTAAAGAGATTTTTGTTTGACACGACCAAAGATGAATACTAACAGACGATCAATCAGAAATGATGCAATAAAATCGAATGCCAATACTTTGAAAAAGAATATACGAAGCTAGGAGTAAAATTTTTTTTAAAAAAAAAAAGAAGAAGAAGAAACAAGAGAGAACAATGATCGAAAGTTTCACGATGTTGGAATAGTCTACTATCTGTATGCAATAAATTTTACTTTACAGAAGGGCAATCATCTAGTTCATATTCAATGAATATTGTCCTTTATTGATGTCTTAAAAGCATTTCTCGTATATCGTGGGACAACCGAGTAAGCAATGCTGTCGTTAGGAAACAACTACCAGGTAAGAATGGCATATCAACAGATGAAGTGGTGAAACTTCATCAGTTGAGGTGATTGGGACATGTGTTACGCATGCTCAACCACCGACTGCCTGTACAAGCAATATTTTGTGGTGTAGGTTTAGGCTGGAAGAAATTTAGAGACGGCCAGACCAAAACATGGCAGAAATCCATGTCGGTAGTTGTCAACTACCTGGTTGGGGTCCGCGAGACCAATAGTTAGAGACCTTGAACGAAATGGCTCAGAATCGTTTGCAATGGCGCATGTGCATCCATTCGCTATGTTCTCTCAAATGCTAATCTTCTAAATTCCTCATCATCTCCATCTTTTTGTTTGTAAGTTTATTTCACTAGATCATACGTCTTGAATAATATCTTCGGACCGATTACTACTCATACTTCTACTTCCTCTACTACTATGGGGTTTGAAGTGACAATTGGATCTCTTTACTAATGTGGTATGGCAACTTGAACCGATGTACGTACGTACGAAGTTTTATGTTCTTGTTGACTAAATGACTGATTGATTATTTCTTATCACTGATATTTCATACTATTCTGTTTTACTGTAGACAACTGTTTTTTAACAAATAAAATTAACTATTATCAAATACGATTACACAACCTTTAAGTAAATGAAATCATTGAAAAGAATAATTTCTTCGGTTAATCACTTTGATTTTCTATTCAACAATGTTCTAGGTCTCTTTCATCAAACGAAAACTAACATCATCATTATCGATTTAATGTATGTGTAGGTAGTACTATATAGAAATTACAAAAGAGCCAAAGCATTTCTTTTTTTCTTATTCAAGATGAAAAGCCGAACAATTTTAAAAAAAAGATGCCAACTGGTCAAAAAAAACAAACATCAACAACCACTTACATCATAATCTAAACTAACCAACTGTAATGTATCAGCGAATGGACCAAATGGTAGAATAATAATACCAATGACAGCAACTATCAATGAAATCAACATTGGTCTATTCTCAATTAATGATTCCATAAATGGATGACCAGTATAATTGACGGCCAATGTAACAGTCTATTATTATGATTATTAATGAATATGACATTGAAAAAAAAACAAATACATAATTACAAGATGTAATGACGTAATGTTAAAAGATTAATATACTTAAAGAAACTGTAAGCCAATTGTTATTACCATTAAAAGAAGAAGAAGACTTTTGATACATGTTACAACAATGTTTATCAACAAGATTAACTGGCACGCTATTGTAGATATATATAGTTGAATGAAACTTCCTAGTTTCTCATATTCTGTGACCATGTAATTTTTTTTTTTCAAGGAATCTCGATTAGTAGTAATGAGAGTTGTATCATTCTGACAGCGCGCAGCTATAGAGAGAGCTCAAGTGAAAACTACTTTTTTACTACAGTTCCTGGGCATAGAAGCTACCTACTTTTCATATACACACCGACATGATGCGCACTCTTCGTTTTTGAAGCTCACCTTTTTCTAACACTATTTTTCACTATCAAATATTAGTTAGTAATATTGGAGTTGACGTTTATACATAAAATAAAAAACACCTTACTTACTCTACGTCATAACTGATAAAAATTGGCAAAAACTGAAGTACAAACTCTCTAAATCTCTGTTGAGACACCAATCAACCTACTAGGACTGATGAAACGTCCAAAATATATATATATATATATATATATATATATAAACTAGTTAACAAACTCAATTACTTCACTTCCTATGATCTGGGCTACGTAATGATACAGACCAGTCTTGAAATAGGGTAAATACACATCATATAAAATATGTTTAATATTGTTAATTGATTATCAATAATCCCGGTGATTGTGTACATTTATAAAAAAAACACCTTTGAGCAGGTGTACTATAGAGGAGTGTATCAAGTTGTAAGTTAACATTAGTGCTGTTTTTATCATATATTATCATATTATACGCTGTAGATTTGATTTGAGTGATAGATGTCACTTTAGCCATAATACAATACATCCTAGCTGATCAGTCAGTCAGTCAGATGCAACGTAGAACTTCGTACGTAAGTACATCAGTTCATGTTGCCATACCACATCAGCACAGAGATATAATTGTCAATTCAAATCCCATAGTAGTAGAGGTAGTAAAGGTATTAGAAGTAATCGGAGAGGTTAGGATTAGAAGATATTATTCAAGAAGTATGATTCAGTGAGATAAGTTTAGAAAGTAAAAACTAGAGATGTTGAAGAATCCAGAAGATTAGGATTTGAGAGAACACAGAGAATAAATGCACCGGCGCCATTGCAAACAGTTTTGAGCCATGTCATTCAAGGTCTCTAACCATCGATTATTATCGTCTCGCGGACCCCAACCAGGTAGTCGACAATTACCGACATGGCTCAGTCCACTCTTCAATAACTTCATGGATTTCTGCCATGTTTTGGTTTGGCCGCCCCTAACTTTCTTCCAACTTATTCCTACATTGCAAAACAAAGCTCTTCGAGGCAGTGGGTGGTTAGGATCCTAGCTGATCATAACAATTTAATAAAGTTTTACAATTTCTAATACAAATAATCAAAAACCAAATATACTAACCAAGCAGATTGGACAATGGTAAGACAGAACAAAGCAAATTTACGGACCATGGGGTAAAGTTACATTGCTGACTAGGTCAGATATATTTTGGCAGTAAGGTGTTTTGTTCATGTATAAACGTCAACTCCAGTGTTAATGAATTTTTCCTAGTGAAAAAGGAGTTGACCTTCAAAAACGAAGAGTGAGTCTCGTGTTAGAATTTACAAAGTCCCAGCGTCCGTGATTCTGTGAAAAGTAAGTAGCTTCTATATCAAGAACTATAGTCTAAAATAGTTGTCACTTGAGCTCTGTAGCTGCGCTTTCAGAATGATCCAGACTTCGTTACTAATCCAGATTCCTTGAAAAAAATTTACATGGTCACAGTATGAGTAACTAAAAAGTTTCATTCAACTACATATCTACAATAGTGCACCAGTTAATCATGCTGATAAAGGAATTTTTTTAAGCTTACTCATTTATTTTATCTATTAATGTTAGTAACTTTTCGAATTTGGCATTAATTCTGTCTGCATGTATTATCGACGCTAACGATTCGAGTTTATAGAATGCTATTTTAGGTCTACTGAAACAACACTTCAAAATGTACATTCGAATTGATACTGTTTGAACAATGTGTCAAACTCGATCTCATGTTGTTAAAACATGTTATGTGTCTGGAACCTGAATGTAGATAATTAAACGCAACCAATTCGCCTGATCATGTCCATTGATGTGGAAAATCATCATGTTCCCCCATTCACTTAGCTTGAGATCCGTGAACAACTCGGTTTCACAGGTACAGAAAAGTTTAAACGCACTAAAGGTATTTCATGAAGTTATTAACTGTTAGTTTGAACCGACTTGAGTGTAGACTTCCTAATTAGGATCCAAGTGGTAATCACGATTAGTGATCGATCTGAAAATTCGATTGCGGTCCTATATTATTTATAACTGACTTATTAGGTCATCCAATCAGTTGTGACTAACATATGAAGTTTTCATCAAAATGTAAACATTTAATAGGTTATGCTTTTAGATACAAAACGAAATTCACTAAGAGGCATTTGCTTTAAAGCTTGACTTCAAGTCTAACTTCAATAACGTCCAAAAACTGACGATAGATAAATGTATACTTTGTGCTAAATTTACTTAGTGGAATATTGCACAATTCAAATAAATTAATTAACAGAACTGAGTAACATGGAGAAAGTTGATATTTTACATTTATATAGCTTACACATGATACTTACCAATAAAAGTCTTAAACATATAAATTAATGATCAATTAAAGGTGTTTCCGAAGCATTGCTCGTGTATCCTGAATGTACCCTGAATGACATGTCTGGAAACCGCTTGCAAAGTTTATTTCACTACATTCTACTTCTTGAATAGCAACTTTGAACCCTAATCTGTCCGCTTATTGCCAATACTTTTACTACATCTACTACTATGGGATTTCAATTGACAATTCAACCTCTCTGTACTAATGTGGTATAGCAACTTGAACTGATGTACATACGTACAAAGTTCTACAATGCTGTTGATTGATGATTGATTTGAACTGAAGAAACATGATGCAAATGATTTTTTTTCTCTTCATTTCCGGGAAAATCACTTTGTAAAAGTGTAATTTTTTAACACACATTTAGTTACCAGTGAACTGATATATTATAATCTGCCAGTCATCTCACAATAAACAGATCCAACTTTCAACAATATTGAATACATATTTGTGGACAAAAATTTTACGACTTGAGAAAATAACAATTTTAGTTTTTAGCCAATTAATAAATGTCACCAATATTTTTAAGATAAAATAAATACTCTATGTATATATAACATTAGTTACAATTGACTAATATTAAAAAAAGTATTACTGAGCATACTACTAAACGTTTACAAGTCACTTACTTCCATTCCAGTTGAAATAAGATAAACTAAAGTGTTCAAAAGTGACGGTTTAAATTCAGCATGTAAATCGATAAAATCATCATCCCTGAAAAAAAAAACAATTTTAAGAAAGGCGAAAAAAAAATATATTAACAATGAATTCCGACAGTACATCAAACTAATATTCTTCACAATAATATATATAACACATGAAGTAAAATATTCACATCATTAACCAATGAAGTTATTGAATATTGAAATATAGCCTATAACAACTAAACATGTTGCGTAAACAGATGTGAATTTAAACTGTGAATTTTGGACTTCATTCTACCCAGACGGTATTTTTTTTATTGTTTTACACTATACTACTTGCTAATAATAAGTAATATGAATGTTATTTCAAATATTCAGACACTTTTCGAACGAGATTGAGTTTCCTAAGTTGAACGATTTCTTCTATTATCTTTCTAAACACCTAAAACGATATAAAAAGGATTCAGCCTTGGCTGGAAGTGTACACCGTCATTTAAATATCTATTTTAAGGTACTGACATTATCAGAATGTCCGCAACAAGCGAGTTAACTGTTTAATTTTCGATTTTCATAAAAATGGTTTTCATTTCTTCTAGTTTTAGTGATATTGTTTGTTTTCGTTGAACTTTTCATGTGCGTGAGATACTGCTATTCTACAGTAAGCGTAATGAATCTGATGATAAAAATCACTATGATAGTACAATTACTGCGAATATCATACAAAACCATTTTGCAAAATAACTATGAGAATAATCCAAAAACTTTGATAAAAAACTGTAGCTATCTTTTTTGATCACAATAGTAAATTGTAGTTTATGATATAATGTAACCTCCAGTACAGAAACATCATCAATTATATCTCCTAGACTGATACGATTTACAAAGTTTTAGCGATACACAGTGTATACGTTAAGACCAATATTGATTTAATAAATAATAAGTGGAAATATTTTAGATCATTGTTTTCCAGAATCTGAAGAATTTTATAACTTAATGATCCAGAATTTAGGCGTTTGCGCGCAAGACCGGATGTCCTGGGTTCGAATCTTGCGGGTAGCAGGATTCGTGGATGCGCACTGCCGATGAGTCCCATACCAGGACGAAATGGTAGTTCAGTGCTTCCAGGTTTATAATAGTAGTCTAACAATGATTCGTTCAAGATTTCAGTCCACCTTAGTCGGTAAACAAGAGCGAAGACAAATGATCAACTGACATGATAGGCTATTCTAATCCGAGAGTCCCAAGGCCCCACTAAGTAGATGAAGAAGTCTTGACAAGAAGTAGAAAGTGTATTCTACAAGCATCCAGAAAGTATGAGGTTGACAAGCACACAAATTGAGTTTATGTATACATGATAGAAACGTCCTTGGGGGGGAGGGTCACAAAAATAGCGTACTAAAATGATGCATCAACCGATAACAGTCAAGGATTTTCCGGGAGGGAAATGTAATCTGACTGTCAACTGATCAGTCCATGCTCACAGACATACAATCCAAAATTAGGACCTTTATGAAGTGAGTTCTGGGGATCTAACGTCCCCAACAATTTCGTTGAATATAAGAGTGAAAAACAACTAATTAGAAGAGAAAGGATCTCGATAACGAAAAGGATGATAATAGAATATTTCAAAAGTGTTTCTACACAAACGGAAATGATTCGCTGAAAACTTTGTCTTAAGAAAAAAACAATAAATCCAATGAGCTAGAGAACACGATGGTTGATTATGATTAACCTTTGTGATCAACGGTCTTTATGAACAAATCTCATCCTTGATTCGGCACAACACAACTTTATTCTTACTGCAATTAATAATCAATAACGAAGTCAACTTTCATGCATTTGTTTAATAGACATTACAGTAATTTTATAATATAGAGTTGTGAAGATTGTTGAACTGCAAATGAAATAACAATGAGTTCTCTATTGGGAGTGAAACGGTTGTCCAGTGCTGATAGGTTTCCAATACTGATCTAATATTAATCAGTTCATGATTTCAATGAAACAGTAATTTTATTTGGCCAAAAGTCGTCATCAACAGAAAAAAACTGATTGGATTTGATCAGTTTAAAGAATTATCGAGATTAATATTAACAAGATATTGAAAATAATTATCCGAAATATATATGCATACACTTTTATGTAATACATAACATTTGAAATTATCAATCAATCATTATTAGACCACCATATTAAAAAAACTGGAAGCACTGGATGGACGTTTCGTCCTGGGTATAGGACTCATATCAGTGGCAGTAGTACGCATGCACAAATCCTAACATCTCGCTGAAAATTTCATCAAAACTATTGCAACTGAAATAAAATAACTTACACTTTAGGCATTCGTAATTCCGCTTCCATAGTTAATAAATAAAGCACATAGAAATGAACAAGAAATTGTAAAGACACTGTAAGTAGTGTATAAATATTGAATATATTTGGTATAGGACGTTCTTTAGATAATGTTTTCAGAGGCTATAGATAAGAAAAAAATGCATACATACACAAAAACGAAAATTAAAACAGTAAAATAGATTGCTGAATAATACATAAGAGAAAAAGTGTCACTTGCATAAGAAAACATTCTAGTTCTTCAATAAAGCAACAACAACGAAAAAATCTTGGTTTGGTTGGATGAAGTAAGCAGAAAACCATAAACTCAAGTTTTGCGCCAGTTGACAAGGGGTGAAGAATCGCTCCCTTGAGGAGCGTGTCAACAATGAGACTAGGATATTTACAAATGATTATCACACTCTGTATTTGTTGGTAATTTTCTGCCACTTTCCGTTTATATTCTTCTTTACTATCTAATTATGTACACACTTCTCATTAACGTAATGGTTTTAATGTTTTGTAATGATTATTTTAAGTTTATTTATCGACGTCTGACCTACTGGTGATCAACACTTTTGTGATCGTATTTTATTTATCTTACTAACTATCAGTACACCTGTCTTCCTACTATCAACTTGTACTTTTGCCTATTATGTGTAGAGTGACGTAATCTATTTCATTTCATTTCATTGTGATTACTGACTCTTATATTGTCTTGATTGGTTTAACATTTTCATATAAATATTCATGGATATTAGAGAGTAAAGAACGATGACGATCTAATCGAAAACAATATTGTTCGCTTTTATATGTGTTGCTCTAATTTTCACAATGGGGATCTTTAATATTGTTAATTATCTCATCTATCGATTTACCATCTTTACATGGTACACGATTCTTAACGACAGAATTGCTTAGTCGGTTGTTCCGGGATATACGAGCAATGCTTTGAAGACATCTATAATCGAATACTAATAACCTACGAATGTCCTCTACTCTTACCGGACATGTTTCGTATCCATATAGTAGGACGGAACGAACTGCTACCCAGTATACCCGTCCTTTAGTTATCAAACGGATATCTCGCCTACACCATAAGCGACGCATGAAATCAGAAAAAAACCCAAACGCAAGTTTTGTGCTAGTTGACAAAGTATACCTAGAATCCTTAGGGGGAAGGGGGGCAAGAATTGCTCCATTGAGGATTGAAAACCCGTGTCAACATTGAGACTGAGATACGTACAAATGATCGATAAATATGAAATCGGTTACTATTCAATCAATTGTATAAAAAACTATAATAAACACAATTTGAGGTGCATTAAATTACAATAAAAAAAAAGAATACCGTGTTACGATATTAACCAAATAACCTACGAAGAACTAGTGTAAATTCTATTGGTCAATATTTTGGTCATCCTAGCTATCAAAGTCACGTACTTCAATGTTGTTTCTTATTGGTCTTCCTGACTATGATTGTCACTTCAAATATTATTTCCTATTGGTCACCTTAACTGTCAATGTCACAGACTTCGATGCTGTTTCCCATTCGACCCAAATGTATAAATACGCACTAACTGTAACGTTTTATGACCCGGACATGGATTTCTATTTCGAGATCCTGATTCTCTTCTGAACTCGGACCACGTACTTCCTAGATGCTTATAGAATACATGTTCTATGTCATATCAAGTCTCCTTCTTTTACTCCATGGGGGGGAGGGTTGTAACAATCGGATTAGAGTAACAGATAGTGTCGCCGGATACAACTAAGGTAAACAACTCATAATAATCCAAGCATATCAAAATGACATGTTTACATGCATGCGTAACAGATTCAAAACTATATATTCATCTACATATATTCTCACTAATTCATCTCCATTTAAATTTCAAGCTTAGAGTGTTATTTCACAATGTGTTTTTTCATCTTGCTTTCTCATGTTTTTTGATTGACATTTTCAATGTTCTGTGTGTTTTCTTTTCACACTACAAACTACCAATAGGATTATTATTTACAAAGACACACACACAATTCACAAAAATGAAATCATTAACCAAAACAACATTTACCTTAGATCGTGAAATAAATAAAAAACAAGCTGATAAAATCAATGCACGTATAGTTGCTTGAGTATCAGATATTTTAAAACCTTTAAGATATAAAACTGATGAACTATAAGCAATGATCAAAGCATTGATAGCTAGAATTTTATACATTTGCAATGTAGTCACCAATGTACAACGTCCTTGCATAACAATATGACAAACTGAAATACAATATAAAGATAATTTAAACGATTTTTAATTGTATACAACAAACATGGCTAGTAGAATAAAGTTAACAAAAGAGTCAGTCAATCAGTCAGTCAGTCAGTTCGTCAGCTACGACGTAGGACTTAGCACGTACGTACGTACGTACATCAGTTCAAGTTGCAATACAACATTAGCACTGAGACCCGATTGTCAATTCAAATCCCATAGTGGTAGAGGTAGCGGAAGTATCAGCGCATAATGGAAAAGATTGCGGTTTGAAGATGTTCATTCAAGGAATATCATCCAGTGAAATAAATTTGAGAAGAGATATATATAGAGATGATGAAGAATTCAGAGGATTGGCATTTAGGAGAACAGAAAGAATGAATGTACCTGCGCCAACGCAAACTATTTTCAGCCGAGTCATTCAGGGTCTCTAACTATCGGTTACTAACATTTCGTGGACTCCAATCAGGTAGCTCAATCCATTTGTCAGTGACTGGATGGATTTCTGTCATGTTTTTGGTTTGACCGCCCGTATCTTTATCTCAACCTACTCCTACTACACAACAAAATATAGCTCGTCATGGTAGTAGGTGGTTGGGCATACAAGTCAAAATCAAAACAATTCAAGGATAATCAGGAAATATTTCAAATAATTATTGTTTAATGCTGAATGTTAATTCGTATTAAATCAAAATTAATTTAGACTAGTCAATAATGAAAAACGACTCAACCTAAGCATAGCAAGAATAATTGTCGAAATCATAACAATCTATGTATAAAATAAGATAATTTTTCTTACAATTATGAATTTGATAAACACTAAAAAGATTCAAAGCTACTTCGGTGGAATGTGTGTAATTTTCTGGTTAGATATCTGGCTGATTGTTGTTGCACAAATCACATGAACAGTGAGATAAAAAAAAATTACTTGGGCAATTTCACTACTTAACAATAGACTCATTTGAATACCAGCGCACTAGGTACTCGATAATGTCACTAGTCTATGCAATAATAAGTTTATTGCTTATCATTGAATAAACAAACCTATATGTTTTTATTGCTATAGATTTCCCTTTCACGGTATGGGCAGCCGAGAAGTAACATCCACCCTCATACCCATAAAAGCAAACAAGACCATACTGGTCACAATCAAATCCTTTCTACATCTCTTAATAACTGTCTTATCTCCTCGACCAACCCTTCTTTGTATGACAACTTGAACTGCTGTACTTACGTGCAAAGTTCTACGTTGCTGTTGATGATGATAACGATGATGACTATAGATTTGCAAATTGAAAGTCGCGAAACGAAAAATATCATCTTACTACTCTTCTATGCAAGTGTTGGTGTTCTGTCTTAAATCAACAACTAATTCAATCAATCATATACAGATGAAATTTCGACTATATATATATATATATATATATATATATTTTTTATGTACAAAAGTAATAAATATCATTGAAATGTTAGGTGGATTTTATCGATTAAACAGAAAATTAAAAAAAATACATATTTTATTTACCTCCAATTGGAGAAGACATTTTAGCTGTGAATGGAGCTGCGATACTAGCATTACCAAGACGAACTACTGATACTTCTTGATCAGTATCTAGTGCAGATAAATTGAATGAAGGACGTACAGTTGGATTAGCATTGTTAATGTTATTATTATTATGATTATTCACAGAGTGAATATCACCACGATTAGAACGACTTAAAGTATTCGTATGATTTTTCTGACGTATATTCTTAGATAAAATGCTTGATTGTTTAGTTTCAGTTGATTCCACAGGAGAAATAGATGTGTTGGTTTCGTTAAGCAATGCAACACCTAGAATAAAACAAAAAACATGGAAATAAATGAATTTTATATGTAAATTGACAAACAAAACCACATTAGTTTCAAGCCCTTCGCTCTTTGCTTCGGTTTGGAGAATTAGGTAGCAGGTTTAACATATATATATATATATATATATATATATATATATTAACTGCTTCCGTCCTACTATATGGTTGCGAAACACGGCCGGTAAGAGTAGAAGACATTCGTAAGTTATTAGTATTTGATTATAGATGTCTTCGAAGCATTGCTGGTGTATCCTGGGATAACCGAGTGGGAAATCCTGTCGTTAGGGATCGAGTACTAGGTAGGGATAGCAAATCAATAGATGAACTATTGAAATATCAGTTGAGTAGGTTGGGACATATGCTACGTATGCCCGACCACCAACTGCCTCGATGAGCAATGTTTTATGGTGCATGAGTAAGTTGGAAGAAAACTAGGGGAAGTGGCCAAACCAAAACATGGCACAAATTCATGAAGTCACTGACAAGTGGACTGAATCAGGTTGGAGTCCGCAAGACGATAGTAATCGATGGTTATAGACCTTGAATGACATGACTCAAAATCGTTTCCAATGGTGTAGGTGCATCCACTCTTTGTTTTCTATAAAATTCTAACCTTCAGAATCCATCATCATTCCTACCTTTGTCTTTCTAACCTTATCTCACTAAATTATACTTCTTGAATAATATCTTCGAAACCTAATCTTTTCCTTTACCGGTATTACTTCTATAATCTCTACCACTATGGGATTTGAATTGGCAATTACGTCTCTGCGCTATTGTGGTATGGCAACCTGAACTGATATACTTACTTACGATGTTCTACGTTGTAACTAACTAACTAACATGACACCTACGTGCTCATGTATGCGAATACAATAAAGTATGCAAGAAGTAGTATACCAAAGTTAATTATTTGTTCAGTCAGTCAGTCAGTCTGATGCAACGTAGAACTTCGTACGTAAGTACATCAGTTCATGTCGCCATACCACATCAGCACAGAGAAGTAATTGTCAATTCAAATCCTATACTAGTAGTAGAGGTAGTAAGGGAATTAGAAGTAATCGGAGAGGTTAGGATTAGAAGATATTATTCAAGAAGTATGATTAAATGAGAAAAGTTTAGAAAGTAAAAGCTAGAGGTGTTGAAGAATCCAGAAGATTAGAGTTTGAGAGAACACAAATCCTACACTACAAAACAAAGTTCGTCGGGGCAGTCGGTGGTTCGGCATACGCAACACATGTCCCAACCACCTCAACTGATGAAGTTTCACAACTTCATCGATTGATCTGCCATCCTTGCCTAGTACTCGTTTCCTAACGACAGCATTGCTTAATTATTTGTTCACAAACTAGTTGAATGATTAGAAAAAAAAAGTGACTCAAACCCCAGTATATCACTATGTCTCTTAAAGAAAGAAAGAAAAAAAAACACAAACAACATCAAAATACAATCAACTAACCAACATGAGCTTGTTTCAATGCACCAACATCATTTGTACCATCACCACACATTAATGTAATATAATTCATACGTTTCAATTGAACTAATATAGATTCTTTTTGTTTCGGTGCAACACGAGCATAGATTTTAGCTTTTGGAATTAATTGTTGTAATAAATTACAATTGGTTTGTGAAAGATAATCAATTCCTTCACCGGTTAAACAAATATCATAATTTTGAATAAATTGTGCAATTGTGCGCTTTGTATTATTATTATTATTATTATCTTGTACAGGTAGAATAATAGATTCATCAACTGATTGCCAATGCCATTGTTCATCTAAGATTTAAAAAAACCGCAAGATGGAAGACAAATACGATTAACAAATATTAACAATAATAATAAGTCCCATACCAGGATGAAACGGCCGTCCAGTACTTCCAGGTTTCTAATGGTGTGGTCTAACAATGATTGATTGACGATTTCAAATGTGTAAAAAACACAAATCTCCAAAACCCTACCCGAAAATAATAGCTGTGTTTAGTAATAGTATTAGCGGTAATAGAGATGATTAGGCATGAAACATGTAATTTGACAAAACATAGATTCATGGAACAGAGAAAGAAGATAATTACGGAACTTAGGATCTAAGTGAAGAATCAGTGGAGTTGTGCTACTGCAAAAGATTCTGAGCCATATCAACCGTCTTTAAACAGTGATTACGATAATCACATGGACCTTAAACCAGATAGCCTGCACTTGCATAGCTCAGTCTGACACAGTGACTTTATAAACTGATGTAATGTTTTGGCTCACAAGTCCATATCTACCTTTTAACCTACTTTTACACTAGCGATCATTCCCCGTCGAAGTAAGCAGTGGCTAAGTAAATATCATATATGCTCCAACTAACTCAATCGAAGAACGTTTACAACTTCATCTACCAATTTCTTATCCTTACTTCGCATCGTGTGTGTTTAACCTCACCGCTGCTTACTCACAAATAACTGAAGTGGTCGATGCACTCAAATGCTTCACTAGTCATCACAAATAGAAGACTGATAAATAATGTTCAATTCTTGAGTTTAATTTCACTCAAGACTAAAATAGAGAATTAATAAAAGATAATTCAGATGCTTTGCACTGCTAGTTACACTTAGAACTGAATTTCTCTTATAATAAAGAACTAGCTTCCAATAATCATAGTTAAAAACGAAATAAAAAAACTGATAAGTGTAAAGTAAAACAACAGATTATTATTTTCATAAATTTATTCTACTGCTTAATAACTTTCACACTAGATAACCTAACAAAATCTTTCATAAAACTCCTGTAAAATATTCTTGCCGCATAAAATAAGTTTGGGCGGAAACTTGGAGAACTACGTAAGCCAATATCCACAATATACAAGTGTTCATTAACAATTGTCTACTCAAAATACTTCGAGCTCGTTACCTAGACACCATCGGCAACAAACTACTGTGAAAGAGAACAAAGCAGACCCCAGTTGAAGAGGAAATCAGGAAGAAGCGTTGGAAGTGACTAGGACACACACATTGAGGAAAGCACTCAACTGCATCATATCATGGAGATAGACATGAGAAGAATGAACAAAAATTGGACAGAGATATAAAGGAAAGCTCATGACAGAATAAGGTGGAGAATGCTGATTGGTGGCCAAGGTTCCATTAGGGATAACAGATTTAAGTAAGTAATGAATAATTTTCAAAATCTGCAAAAACCGTAAATGTTCGAACAATAATGTAATCAACAAATATCAAAACTTGAAATAATATACATCACTGAATCTGGTACAAATTTGAATCAACCCTAGTTAGCACAGCAAATCAGCACGAGAGACGTGTATTAACATCAATAATCCTATTGTTTATGGTAAAATATATTAGATATACAGTATAAGCATTATAAAAGCATTTTTTTTTTAAAAAAAAAAACACCATACTTACTCAATGAATTCGGTGGGCTTAATACAAGTACAGGAACATTCGATCGAACTATTCCTACAATACTGCTTACATGACATGCTGTCAGTGGATTATCACCTGTAATCATGCTAATATGATGACTGGAATAACTAAGATTCTTTATCACAGTCAATGAATCCGGTTTTAATGGACAAGAAATAATGACAAAACCACAAAAGTGTATATTTGATTCAACAGATTCACGAGTTAAATCTCTGACCTAAATGAAAACAAGTGAAAGAAAGAAATTATTCACTAAGTCATATATTCTAAATAGTCTACAATCAACAAAAGTACTGTAGAGAGAGATTTGTATTTACTTATCTAATATTGATTAAGAACTGAATTCAGTAGTTTTGGGATGTTTGTCAGTTATGAAGAACTTCCATTGTTTTACTCGAATTGAGACTCATTCAATCAGTCAGTCAGTTAAAACGTAGAACTTCGTATGTACATACCTACCTAAGTTCAGGTGTATCAGATGTATCAATATGTTTCAATAATTAGGTGGGACATTTTAGTACCCTATACAACTCAGTTATGTTCAGTAAGATGAGTACCATTATAACCGCTTACTCAAATATTTCGGTCCATAAGTAGAATATATCAGAATGTACCTCAAAAATAAGTTTCATCGCCTGACCTCAATATTAACACCGATAGTACGACTATACTATTTTTGGTAATGAGATACTGTAGGGCCAAAGTTGTGACTTATATGTTATAGAAGACAACTAATTGTTTTGATGAACGAATCTTGGATTACTAAAATGAACAGAAAGAATGTTAACCAACAGATGAAGTGAAATGATACAATGTGACTGAGTGATGACTACACACACGAGAACGAACCATTGATTTAGGCCCTCGAATGAATTGAAATCAAAAGCACAACCACTAGCCAGAAAAATAAGTTTTCAACATAACAAAGTGAAGAAATAAGCATGATAAAACATCATAAATGATTGCTGGGAATTTATTTGTACGCCAGTCACCCGTTAATCAGTTACAACTTAACTGTTAGGCCTTATGATTGAACATCGTATCAGCCAACACCTAACACGTACTCAACAACAAAATAGTATACCAGTATTAACTAGTAAAAAGCTATTAAAGTATACACACACACACACAACCTATACAGTTACTTTATTACAAAGATCGAGCGATATATATACATATATGCATTAGGGGTTGTGGAGATTGTTAAGTTACTCATTGAAATCATGAATCGATCAATGTTAGACTACCATTAGAAACTTGGAAGCATTGGACGGCCGTTTCGTTCTGGTATAGGACTCATCAGCAGTGCGCATCCACGTGTATGAAGCAATGCTCACCGAAGACAGTGTATAAGGTTGCGCAAGACCGTGAATTGATCGAAGTTAAACAGTAACACCGTTTGATACCTGCTCAATAGTTCAAAGGTTAAGTGTTCGCACGCCAAACCGAAGGTTCTCAATTCGAACGCCGCTATGTACAGGAGTCGTCGATGCACATTACTGATAACTCTCATACCAGGACGAAGTCAGTCAGTCAGTCAGATGCAACGTAGAACTTCGTACGTAAGTACATCAGTTCATGTCGCCATACCACATCAGCACAGAGACACAACTGTCAATTCAAATCCAATAGTAGTAGAGATAGTAAGGGAATTAGAAGTAATCGGAGAGTTTAGGATTAGAAGATATTATTCAAGAAGTATGATTCAGTGAGATAAGTTTAGAGAGTCAAAACTAGAGGTGTTGAAGAATCCAGAAGATTAGGATTTGAGAGAACACAGAGAATAAATGCACCGGCGCCATTGCGAACGATTTTGAGCCATGTCATTCAAGGTCTCTAACCATCGATTATTATCATCTCGCGGACCCCAACCAGGTAGTCGACAATTACCGACATGGCTCAGTCCACTAGTCAATGACTTCATGGATTTCTGTCATGTTTTGGTTTGGCCGCCCCTAACTTTCTTCTAACCTACTCCTACACTACAAAACAAAGTTCATCGAGGCAGTCGGTGGTTCGGCATACGCAAGACATGTCCCAACCACCTCAACTGATGAAGTTTCACCGCTTCACCTATTGATCTGCCATCCTTACCTAGTACTCGTTTCCTAACGACAGGACGAAACGGTGGTCCAGTCCCTTTAGGTTTCTAATGGTAGTCTAACATTGGTCGATTCATAATTTCAAATCGATTTAGGAAAAACATTAAAGCTACAATAGTCGATATTTATTATTCAACAAAAATTCAACAAACAAACAAAAACACACCTGATCATGTGTTAGTTGACCTAATGACTTTTGTCCCAAAGCTAGAACACGTGCACCTCGTCTAGCCATAGTTAAATAAGCTTCTTCATAATCTGGTGGTGCATCAACAAGCATAGGACGAATTGTTTCTGGTGATCCTTTAACACAAACTAAATAAGTTTGTTCTACACTAGACGGTAGATAATGACTAACAATAACAGACATACGACGTAGTGAACTATCGAATCGAAATCTAAAAATAATAATAATAATAATAATAATAATAATAATAATAATAAATAGATATGCGATTATTTTGATTTTTAGGAAAATTATCAAATATTCATTAAGTTGTGTTCTAGATTTTTTAAATATTATTGTACATTACTTACTTGCTTATGCCTGTTACCCTCATAGGCCGGCCCACCAGTATTCTCCAACCTACTCTGTCCTCGGTTTCCCTTTCTAGTTCTTTCCAATTTTTGTTCACTTTTCTCATGTCTTTCTCTATTTCTCGGGCTTGGTATTCCACTTTTCCTTAAACCTTGTCCTGTGACACAGTTCGGTGCTTTCCGCAATGAGTGTCCAAGTCACTTCCACCACTTCTTGCTCATTTCTTCTTCAGCTGGGGTCTGCTTTGTTCTCTCCCACAGTAGGTTGCTGCTGATGATGTCTAGGCAACGGCCCGTAGTATCTTGAGTAGACAACTGTTAATGAACGCTTGCATATTGTGGATAGTGGCTTACGTAGTTCTCCAAGTTTCAGCCCAGTACAGTAGAACTGTCTTGACATTTGTATTGAAAATCGTGATTTTGGTTTTGTTTGACAATTGTTTGGAGTTCCAGATGTTGTTCAATTGTAGAAATACAACCCTTGCTTTGCCGATCCGCGCCCTCACATCTGCATCGGATCCACCTTGATTGTTGATGATGCTGCCCAGATATGTAACGGTTTTAACGTCCTCCAAGGCATCTCCATCAAGAGTGATTTGGTTCGCGCATGTTGTGTTGTATCGGAGAATCTTGCTTTTCCCTTTATGCATTTTGAGACCCGCTGCTACTGAGGCTGCTGCTTCACTGGTCTTTTTCTCTTTCATTTGTTGTTGAGTGTGCGATAGAACAGCCAGATCATCTGAGAAGTCCAGATCGTGCAGCTGCATCCTGGCTATCCACTGTATACTGTGCTTTCCTCAAGATGCTGACGTCTTCATAATCCAGTCGATCACCAGGAGAAAGAGAAAGGGTAAGAGTAAGCAACGTTGCCTGACACCGGTCTTCACCTCAAACGAGTCCTGCGTGCACGATTTTACAGTTTAATCCATCGTAAAAATTCCGTATGATGTACATTATTATACCAAAAAGAATTTTAATCATTTCATAAAAAAAGAATATACTCTAATTGCTTTATTAAAACAACTTTCGATTATAGGATAAACTATTTTATAAAGAAAACAATTTAATCTATTAGATTAATAAAAATAAATTTAACTGTGATCTAATGGCTAAAACATTGTAATTACAATAAAAAAAGTTACAGATCCCAAGTTGGCTTCAATCGATTCAATTCAAGTGCTATGCGCTATCATTAATTTTGAGATCAGAAGTATGATTCAAAGAAAGTTCTGTAAGTTTAAGCAAATGAATGGCATTATTTACCTACTTCAAGTTTTCGACATAACATATAGGTTTAAATCTGTCAGTCGGTCAACGAAAATGTAGAACTTCGTACGTACGTACATGAGTTCAAGTTACCATACCCCACATTAGCTCAGAAATGCGATTGTCGATTCGAATCTCATATTAGTAGAGGTAATATAAGTATAAACAGTAATCGAAAAGATTAGCTTTCGGAGATGTTATTCAAAGAGTATAATACAGTGAAATAAATTCGAAAAAAAAGAGAACGATGAATGTGATAAAGAATCGAGAAGATTAGAATTTGTTGAGTGAAAACAAAATAATGGATGCACCTGTACCATTGCAAACCATTTTCAGTCATGTTGTTCAATTTAAATCTAATGCTCGGATTAAACACAACCGATGTAATTATATCTACAGTTGAAAAGTATCTGGAACTCCAAACAACTTTCAACCAAAACCAAAGTCAGGATTTTCAATACAAATGTGAGTACAGTTCTACTATATGGAATGGAAACTTGAAGAACTACCAAAGCCATCATCCAGAAGATACAAGTGTTTATTAACAGCTGTCTACGCAAAATACTTCGGATTTGTTGGCCAGACACTATCAGCAACAACGTACTGTGGGAGAGAACAAACCAAATTCCAGTGGAAGAGGAAATCAGGAAGAAGCGGTAGAAGTGGATAGGACACACCTAACTGCGTCACGAAACAAGCCCTCACATGGAACCCTCAAGGCAAAAGGAAAAGAGGAAGGCCAAAGAATACATTACGCCGAGAAATAGAGAAAGATATGAGAGGAATGAACAAACATTGGACAGAACTGGAGAGGGAAGCCCAGGACAGAGTTGGTTGGAGAAAACTGGTGGGCGGCCTATGCTCCATTGGAGGTAACAGGCGTAAGTAAGTAAGATGTAATCATATGGTATTTTATCATTTACATACATTTTTATGAAGTGAATCTATTTCAAAAGGAAAGCGTAAAACGAGAAAATGCCATAGACAAAATTCAAAATTATGAAAAATATATGAATACGCATATACATGACGAAGCTGACAAATTTATTTATCATCTTACTCAAGGTTTTAGTATAGATATGTTTCATTATAACATTAATATGATTACAAGGCATATATATATATATATATATATATATATATATATATATATATATAAAGATTGTGGTGTATAGTCAAATATTTATTTACCTTTGACATATTTTCAATGGAGAACTACGCGGTATGGTACGTCCATAAACTTCATTTTGATCATTCAATGACCAACTAGTTGATGCTAGCATAGCTTTCTCCATAGGATCACCAATTAAACCAGACGTATTAGTATTAATCAATGAATGACAACTAGCTAATACTTGAATAGTTGATAATGGACATTGTTTCACTTGTAATAATTTATTTGATGGTTGATCACTTAAAAAAAAAAAAAACAATAATATAAATATCTATTAGAAAGAGTAGGTTGAAAGAAAGCTAGGGTTGACCAGAACAAAACATAGCACAAATCCATGAAGTCACTGACTGAGTCATGTTGATAGATGTAGGCTACTTGGTTGAGGTCGGCGAAACAGAAGTCACCAATAGTTAGAGACCTTGAACGACATGGCTCAGAATCATTTGCAATGGTACAAGTGCATCCACTCTTTGTGTGCCCTCTAATTCTAACACCTTCTGAATTCCTCATCACCTCTGTCTTTCTCTTTCTAAATCTATCTCACTGAATTATACCCTAATCTTCTCCATTACTGCTAACACTTCTACTATCGCTATCACTCTTGGATTTGAACTGACAGTTGTGTCTTTGTGCTGATGTGGTATGGCAACCTGAACTGATGTACTTACGTACGAAGTTCTGCGTTGTATCTGTCTGTCTGTCTGTTTATATCTACTAGAAAAATTATATAAGTATAAACGTAAAATAACTAATTACGGGTAGTTTGGGATGATTCTAGCTGTTGAATCACCTGCTTTATTGGTAATAATAGTTATTTGTGAAGAGATGATTTTCTTAGGAGATCATTATCCATGAACCTTTGAAGAAAAAAAAAGGTTTGAGTGACAAACCAATGAACCAACGTTAAAAGATCTAATCAGATAGTAATCGATGACCGAAACATGTCCCGATATTATCTGTCTCCTCAAGATTCTGGAGAAGTAAGTAAGACCTAGACGAAAGAAGTAGTAAGCGCGATATCACATGATGGTATAATTCAGACGGTATTTGTGAAAGATCCAAAAGACGATGCACAGCTTATGTATGAAATTATTAAATATGGCTCCTAATAAAAGCTGAATGAAGATTTTCTTTGTAATTTCCTTGTACATCCGTCATAAAGGCAAGCAAAAACTATATAACTTTTTATCTATTTAGCATATATAACCCTCCAACGACAAGATTGATTCAAAATATAAAATAGTATTTTACCATTTACTATGTACAGACAGATACGTGTACTTAGCTTTGAGCTATCTATACTTTAAGTGTCAGGGCTGTTGACACTATTTAATTGTTGGTAGATGGGTTTGCAACCGGAGACTTACCAGTTGAAAGTTTATTTATCTAACCACTGAGACACCGCTCAACTAAAGATTGTTCTATAATTTCACAAGATTTACTTAAGAATTACTAATCAATGACATTTTTTTCTCAGAGAAGCCGACTAGAACTTTTATGTTTGATGGTTTGTGTGACTGATATATGAATAAAACAAAAGTGATTATTCTATAATCATGATTATAAAGGGAGCATTATATACCACGATATCAACGACGAGTTATGCTTGATAGTAAATGGAACACATACAGTACTATATCACTGAACCATCCAAACTCGAGATAACAACTCATACTTTTAGGTGTAAAAATTGAAAAGTCGATGGTAGCTGTTATTTAATAGAATAAGGCTATTTGAATAAAATTAAGACTTGTTACACTCATAAGGGTGAGTCTATCATACCATCGTAGAATAGAAACAACATCATATAAATGTAAAGGTCATTGAAATGCCTACTTCTTATGTAAATTATGTAGAGATAGTAAATTAGTCAGGATTGAATTCCTTTACCATCTTCAAATTTTCAAGTAAACTATCCTGTGAGTAATGTACACGATAATAAATACTTTTATGATGTAAGAATATTTATTCAATTTCAAACAGGAAAACCAAATCATTTTCCACACATAATAATTCGTTAATTTACTGAGACTAGTCTGCACACAAACAACGTAATGGTTGTATGGAGTCATTTTGAATCTTGTGAGATGCAGGAGTCGTGGATGCGCACTGCTGATGAGTCCCATACCAGGACGAAACGGCCGTCCAGTGCTTTCAGGTTTCTAATGGTGATCCATCAATGACTGATTGATGATTTTAATGTGTAACAATTCTCAAACTTAAAAACAATCTACAGGAAAACTGATTATTACTTATGGTGAGGAATTTCTGTACCAAATGTACATGGTTTTGAGCGTCATAAATTGACTATGAACTCCGGCTAATTATCAATCATTGAAATAAGTTGTACATTTTTACAATGCATTTATTACTTTCCGAAAAGGATTCTTAACTTAATGTCTATGTGCATACTGTATGATAAATGGAATAGAATTTTCAAAGTTATTGGCTTAAACTATGTGAAGTCCCTTCAGAAATTTAAGTATCAACTAATTATCTGTAGTCTATATATAAGAGTATTAAAACGACAAACAGCTCCCTGTACAATGTAACCATATTTATAAAAATAACACATAATAAAATTTAAACATCAAACCCCTCCCCCAACTATTGACTTACTTTAAACCTGTTACTCCTTCAACTACAACAGTATCTTCTGTCAAAGTACCAGTTTTATCAAAGGCACAAATATCAATTTTACCAGCAAATGGAATTCGAAAAGGTTCAGTACAATAAATCACTAGAAAAGAAATTACAATGAAGAGAAATGACAATCCCTATATGCCACATTGTTCACACATTGACTATGTATGTGTATGTACTTAAACATGAAGGATAAGGTTTTTCAAAAAAGTTGTAAACAGCGTTAAATTATGTTACGCATGCACGTAAACATCTCAATTTGATATGCTTCAACTATTATGAGTTTATTTTAGTCGGAAAACGACAGCGAGGATCGAGGATCCGGTGACCCAACCCCACCCCCACTGAGTAAAAGAAGAAGACTTGATATGAAGTAGAACATGCATTATACAAGCATCCAGAAAGTACGCGGTCCGAGTCCAGAAAAGAATCAGGATCCTTGACTAGGGGTCCGGGTACAGGTCATAAAACGTTACAGATAATGTGTATCGATGCATTTAGATCAAATAGGAAGCAAAATTGAAGTCTGTAACATTGACAGTTAGGACGATCATAATACTGACCAGTAGGAATTGACCAATAGGAATCGACCAATAGAACTAGACTTACAAATAATTCTCTTAGGATATAGGATGAATATCCTAACAAATTAACGGGTGACACATTATGCAATCAAGCAAAAACAAATTAGTTAATCAATATAACTGTAGAACAGCATCAGACAATGATCAAAACACAACTCATCAACGATACTAATGTAATTCTCGATTATACACATCACTGTTTAACAAATGACACCCGTAAGTTTATGTTCGTGTGAAATGTACATATTTAAATTTAGCTAAAAGAATTACACAACAGCTCCCATATACCTTATTGTAATCTAAAGTGAAAACTACTGAAACTGTTACTTGGGTATCTAAACTCAAAGACAGAATTGAATTCACAATAAGAATAACCTGAAACTCGAAACTGATTGTCGACTACTTGGTTGGGGTCCGCGAGATCATAATAATCGATGGTTAGAGACCTTGAATGACATGGCTCAAAATCGTTCGCAATGGCGCCAGTGCATTTATTCTTTGTGTTCTCTCAAATCCTAACCTTCTGGATTCTTCAACACCTCTAGTTTCGACTCTCTAAACTTTTCTCACTGAATCATACTTCTTGAATAGTATCTTCTAACCCTAACCTCTCCGATTACTTCTAATTCCCTTACTACCTCTACTACTATTGGATTTGAATTGACAGTTGTGTCTCTGTGCTGATGTGGTATGGCAACATGAACTGATGTACTTTTACGTACGAAGTTCTACGTTGCATCTGACTGACTTTACTAAAGCTAACCTAGATGACTGTGAAGCAATGGCTTAGTGGTTAGGGTATTTGGCAAGATCCTAAGTTCGAATCTCGTCCGAATTATTGAGGTCTCAGCAACTAAATAGTATCATTAGCCTTGAGATCTTAAGTGCCTATTGAACGAGTAGATTTTGGCTTTCGATTTGATGTGCTTGTTTTATGTGTCTTTTATTCGGTGGTACAATTAACGTAGGAGAGAGGAGGAAAGAATAAAGCATTTGAGAAAATATTTATCTTTTCTAAAATAGTTCATCTATTATTTAGATTACAAATTAAACAATATTTAAATAACCAAAAAGGTATGAGATTTACTTCAGTCAGTCAGTCAGATGCAACGCAGAACTTTGTACATAAGTACATCAGTTCATGTTGCCATACCAGATCAGCACAGAGAAGTAATCGTCAAACACTATATGGATTAAACAGTTACAATATTACAACACTTACATAATTTACACAATGCAATTAATGATGAATTGACAGCTAAAGATAATTCTAGCGGGAGTTCCTGTGGAATAACAGATGTCAGAATAAGAGTACATTCAAGAAATAGTTTATATCGATTTCGACGAGGATCAGCAGTGCCTGTTTAACAACAAAAAATATATATTTAAATTGAATATAATACTGATTAATTTGAGACATATTCTGGAATTATTGTATATATAATATATTTTTATACTATAAGTTTAAGGAATAAGATACTTCTATTATTAACAGTCAGTATTTATTTATTATTTTTAATAAAGTTGGCTAGCAGTGTACAGTATAATCCAGGAAACGTGCTACAGTCTATTTGAAACATTTCAGCTGAGTACAACTGCATTTGTATCAATGTTCGCCAAGAGAACTCAACACAGTGCCTTTCACGCCTAATACCCAATGCGCTATTCACTTAGCTATTGAGTTCAGATACCACTGGTTTGGAAAAATGAGGATGAATTATCACTCAGTTGTAAAGGTATAAATTGTTTTTAAATTTTGATGAATTCCACTGCTATTCATCATCGAACTTTGCTTAAAAATGCCAACAACTTAATGAGAATATCGAGTCAGATGGATAAGTTACTACAGCCGATCTCCAACATGAAACAAAAAATTTTTACTTCAAATTTCTTCTTCATAAAATATGAAGACAATAAATCTCATACGATCACACGAATAGCTGAACTATATTCTTAGCTTTTCCATTATTAAGTCGAACCCTAAAATGTTGTCTTGCAGTGTCGTCCCGACGTCCAGTAAGACGCAAACAAATACACACTCGTACCAGAGCATAATCTCAATCTAAACATGTGCTCCAGAACGAACGACAGTCTTCTGTTGAGCCCCTCCTTCAGTGGCCGATAGCGATGTCTAGTTGGGTCCAACGTCGGGACGAATTAGAGGGTCATCATGTCAAAAGATGTTTTTCATTGTGCTTAAAGTTAGTATTTGCTAAAAATAGGCGGTTCTCTGAGCATAGCTGTAGCAGACGATTACAATCATCTGTTTGATTAGTCGCGATACCATAAGGTGTCTTTCATTTTCGCTTAGTCTACCAACTTGAGTACTAAAGTCACCAACCATTACTACTACATCAGAGCGCCTAACCTTTCGGAGGTTGTTTGAAAGATTTCTGTAAAAAATTCATCTTTTACCTCATCTGAGCTGCAAATCAGTCGGAGCGTAGACAGAGGCGATGAAGAGGTAGTAGTGAGTGTCTCCGAGCTCTTACCGTCCCATTTTGTTGAACTATGCACAAGCGATTATCCATTGGGATCCGGCCTAGGAAAGCTAGTTCTGCTTTCGAACTCAATGTTATACCTACACCAGCGAAATCTTGGGTGGTAGTAATGGGGCCCTCGGGTACATGAAGCGTAAATTGAGACGGTCCTTTATTTTGACAAGGTGAGGTCAAATGAATGACTCTACTCGGATCCTGTGTGTGCGTTTCAGAAATGCCGCATGCAACGATGGAGCGAGATTGTAGAGTACTAGCTGAGGAAGCCTGTTTTCCCATTTACCACGACGTTCGAACAATAAAAGCTCCAACGTGTAGTTTAGAGCGTGATTTGAGGAGATCAGGAATAACATTTTGTGTACCCAAATCGTTTGCACAAGCGGTACGAGTTAGTAAAGGAATGTGAGAAGGGTTAATCGTAGAGACAAGAGACTTTTTAAGAGATGGGCGAAAGACTTAATTGTGAGCAAGTTGATCTAGTGTGCTACTACAGGTCTAAGAGTAGGTGTTACTTGCCAGATGCCCACAACGTAGGTGCTTCTTGAGGAACCTGAGAAGAAAGTTAAGTTAGTGTTGGTCTTAGCGACATGAGAGCGTGATCGTAGAATCCAAGCGACAACTACTTAGGGCTGGTCAAGAACCATTGTTTCATGGTTAGTTCTTGAATTGTTAGCTTCGCCCTTCAAAAGACCTTACCAGTTTAGACGGAAATCCGTGAGGTAAGGTAAGCTGTGATATTTTTACGACCGACCTTTTCTAATCCCTTTCCTTCCGTCGTGAGAGGGCAGCATGGCTGCAGATGTTGGTGGTCCGAGAGCAACTTGAACTGATGTACGTACGTACCAAGTTGTACGTTGTAACTGACCGACTGGCTGACTTGTAGGTATCTTCGTCCGAGTAACCTTAAAGTTATCTGCTAATACACTGATTTTTGTGCTTTCTTTATGAATTTAGATAAAGCAAGTATAACGACTGACACAAAAAAAATATAGTTTCATTTTTAGTTCAGCTGGTTTCTCATCAGCTAACTCTACAGGCATGTCTGTACCGAAATAAAGTATAATACTAAGTGTTAAGCACTGGCGACCAAAAATTTGAAATGATAGATTATCAACAATATAAACATATTGTGAAACATATGGTCATTTCAAAATAAATATAAGAAATATAAAGGGGTATGGAATAGAATTCGGAAATTAATAATATAGATTTTGTAATCATTATAGAAAATTTGAAGTATTTACATAAGTGTCAAGAATTGATTCAATGAAAATCACGGATGAATAGTAAAAGGATGATCATATGAAACAGTAATGAAACGACCAACTCTCTCGTAGTCACTGATCAGAGAATCTAATGGGAGATTATAATTAAAAGTTAATTGCCATATCATGTAGAACATCAACAAATACTTAAAAATACTTGATTTACTGATTCATGAAATCATTTTAATAGACGAGGATTTAGCAAATGTCGTCGTACGATTTAATGAGTACAACGGAAAATCAATGTATGTAAGCCTATCGAAAAAGAAAAATTTAAAAAACCAAATAACAACCTATAAATGTAGAAAAACAACCTACCTTCTATCCATACATAGGCTGATGCAATCAACGCAAAAATAAGTAAAAACGATATGAAAAGAAAACTTTCAGCATTATTCGCTGTAACAGCCTTCACACTGTACATTATAGTTTTCAGCAAACGACCTTGTGAAGTATTCAAACCCGTACGAAGTACAAAACAAATACAACCATTGTCAGGTGCTGAGAAAAAAAAAATTAAAAGTGGATTGCCAAAAATACAAATTCAAATAAGATTAAAATTTATAAAATACATTAATTAATTACATGAAACAAATACACTTTAACGAGAATTCGAATACACTTGAAATTTTTATTATTATTATTATCATTACTACCATTATTGTTAATGGAAACTTATTACCAAGAAAAATGTTCATGTACCCCACTCCTAAGTGACACTTTTAGGACTAGGACTAATAACAACACTATCTAAGGTGTTTAAACAGCAGCAGAATGAGGATTAAATCTGCAGCTCAGTAGTTGAAAGTATAATTATTTGATGACTAAGTCACTAACCTACTTGCTGCCTTTAATATAAAAGAATTTAACTTCATTTAACATCATACTTTAAGAGGAAATTAGACAAGCTACATAACCCTGCACCGAAGATGAAATCTTTCTTACTTTATGATGAGTAAAAAGCTAAAAAGTCTTTGTTTGAAAGTATTTACTGTTTTTGCCATCTGAGTCCATTAAAAATGTATTTTTTCAAAGCTGAATACTGTAATTTGAGTTATTTTATTTCTTGTTGATGAGTAATAATTCTTACATCACTCTTTTTGTATGGTTGAAAATAACATTATTAATCTTAATATTAAATGTTTATTCCTCACTGAGATCCCTTTTGTGTGTAAATCTCTATGCATTAATTAAATTTGAATATGAAGCTAACTTATATAAGATTTTATTAAATATAGATGGAATAATAAAACAGCCAAAAAAGTAACGAACCTTTTAAAGAATTTGTAGATTTAGAAGGTGGAGTGAATTGTACTACTTTGGTTCCACCAAACAAAATCTGGGTTTTGTGACCATCATCGAACGTGAAATGTTCATCAGCTTTAAGAATCTCACAAGGATCCTAAGAGTAGTAACGTTTGAAAAAGAACCAATGTTTTGAATGAAAAAACGTTCCCACAGAAAATATGTCAAAAAATAAAACTTCAATGATTACGTACGGGAATGTAGTAAAACATAAATGATACAATCTAGTTATATATATATATATATATATATATATATCAGTCATTCAGTCAATTGCAACGTAGAACTTCGTACGTATGTACATCAGTTCATGTGGCCATACCATATTAGCACAGAGACGCAAATGTCAAATCAAATCCCATAGTGATAAAGATAGTAGAGGTATTAATGGTAATGAAGATGACTAGGGTTTGAAGATATTATTCAAGAAGTATAATTCAATGAGATAAGGTTAGAAAGACAAAGGTGTATATATATATATATATATATTTATATATATAGATAGAGAGAGAGAGGAGGACAGAATGGCCATAGGAGATATAGCCCATTATTTTTGTGTGGTATGGGAAGTTCAGCTAAAGCACACTCATACCAATTTCTACGACAGTTATGATTGATAGTTCAATGAAACCCGCGGCTTATAGGATAAAGTATTCGTCTTATCCTAATCTAGCTGTATTAAAGCTGCGCCCAATACTCAATGGGTCTGAGAGTTCTTCTGTAGGTCACATCTTTGATTTCCTTTGAGCTAGTTAGTATAATAGATAGAGTAGGAACAGGTAACAACCAAAACACCCAGTTTATTGACGACAATAATAATTAAGGCAAGATTCTGACATTAATAAAGAGAAATAATATTCACTCACTTTGCCAACAGGTACTGATTCTCCAGTAAGCATAGATTCATCCACAATACATGTACCTCTTAAAAGTAGTAAGTCAGCAGGAATGCAGAACTTTTGATCATTTTCAGATATAGAAACAATGTCTCCAGCTATTAACTGGTCCGTCCGAACACGTACCCACTTCTTTTGCCGATAAACCTTTAAAATTTCATTTCCGGAAATATAATTACATTAAATTTAGACTAGCTGTCTATAAACCATAATAATGAACAAATTTCAATTATAAAATGCCCATCTACTACTTTTTAATACAAAATCTATATACATACATACATACATGTATACATATACAAAACAGATGAACGGTAAATTTCGCCCAAGGTTTGTGAGTCACATGATGCTCTGTTGAAAAGAATTATTTACATAGTTCGCGTTGACAAAGTGGGCTTTGAAATATACTTTTTGTTTACTGGCACCTACGTTAGACAACTGACTAGACCGCAATATATAGGACAGAGTACGACTCTACTACCTAGTGCTTAAATCACTAAACTATCATACTATTAGACAAACTATAGCATATAAGACTGCATATGAGGAATATAAAATCCCAAACACCAGACAAATTTGTGTGAATTGTCATGAGAATCTAGCACTAACCTTGTTGCTAATTACAGATTCGAAATGAATTAGTATAAGCATACAGAACATAATCTTGTCAATATGGGAAAAATCGCTCAATACCTAATGATAATCATCAACACTGGAACGTTCACAATGCTTCGTAACATGCTTATAATTATTTAATTTTACCGTGGTACCAAACGATGATATTGAAACGAATAGACTTACATGGATGTTGTATGGCTTTTCGGACATCGAGCGTATTTCAGATAAATTTTTCAATTGCTGATGTACTAAACTGGCCTCAAAGAGACACAGCATACCCAGAGCCATCAGTGGGTAGACCCAATATTCGTCAAGGCACCATAATCCAACTGAGAATACTTGGAAGACAAAAAATGGAGCAGTTGCACGCTCTCTGAACAGCTCAGCAAAGGATGGTACATCTAAATGAAGTCTGACAGTTACAAAGCATAAGACAGTGCTACTCGTTTAATCCATATTTACGCTGTGCCTCAATCTGTTGATCAATCGTCTCATGACCTTTCCAACTAAGGTACGTTTTTATGTTCCAATCGACTGGAAATTGGATAGGTTGAAAACTGTCTTTCTCATCAGTCTTGAAAGTGTACTTTGACCGTTGGAAGTGGAAGGAATAAGTTAGTTCCGAGAAGCTACCCTAAATTCAATTTTTAGAGCTATACAACACTCTAACCTCTTGTTTTTCAATCTTAACGATCATCGGATAACCTGTGTTAGGAGTTGGAACTACTTTGACATACTCAGACGCCGCAACGCTGGATTGCTAAAAAAATGTTTATCTCTTATGTTAATACTAACTTTTTTGCAAGTCATAAAGCACTTGAATCCAACAAACCAGTGACAGCAGAGACAAGTTATTATTTGCACAAATCCAATGACTGCAACAACTATGAGACCAAATTCCATATACTCCTGAAAACCAAGAATATTGGTCCAGTATCCAATCCATATAGAATATAGAAGAATGAATGGAAAGACATATCCATGTAGTAGTGTTGGGCGAAGGTTATAAAGCTCAACACTTGCAATATCTACATCTGACTTGACCATTTGTCCGCTCTCAAAACAGCGCTAAAAGTTGAAGGTTGACCTTTGGGCACCTCATTGGTTAAGACCGTAAGACGTGGCACAAGATCTGGAGTGATATTCACATTTACTAATTTTTATAACCAAAAAGTAAACGTTGTCCTTTTTGACTCTTTCTGAAGATTTTCTGGATCACACTTTTATTCAATATACATTGTTTGTTTGTTTCCGTCGCAAATGAACAATAATAGTGCTACAATATTCCTTCAGGGAATTTTCTCCATTAACACTATCAGATTTATATATTTTCCTTTCTCGTCATTCGCGTCTACCGCGCAGAAGAATATTTTTCATTCACTGAAGTGTATTTTTGGTCGCTATCCAATAATTAACTTTCAATTAACCTCTCTTAAAAAGGAGAGAATATTTTTACGTTTGATAAACTTCCATTTTCTGAGTGCTCTATCTCTACCGTCTGCCCTGATAAGTGTATATTAATCTTCGTGTAGCAAAATAGTACTGATTTATGGCATACTATCAATAGCCTAGCTCTTGCTATACTTCGATTAAGTTCTTTTACAGGTTCGATACAAATTCAGTGCGCCCTTTAATTTTGCCTGAAACTGTAATTTCCAGTTCATCCACAAACACTGGCATTTATACCGATATAATTATTGATTTTTTTATATTTTCGAAGCCTCAAAATATTTTTTGGAGCTCAATATTTTAAAAGCAGAAAAAGCGAGACATTGAGCGGGCTTCGAATCTGATGTGGCCTCTCTGACTTTCTTCCATTTACAGGAAAGAATCCATTTTCAAGATACTTAAACACCCCCGAAGCTATAAAAAGTGCTCTCCATCTATTGATTGACAATCTGAAAAAAATTTCGGGCAAACTGAATCATTCCAAGTCAGAAATATCGGGCGGTAGGTCCAGCTGCCTCGTTCAACTGCTCTTTTCCTAGTTGCTTCGACAGCATACACAACTCACTCGCAAACACAGGACTTGTGGACAAGCTACTGGGTGCACGCAAAGTTACTTAGTAATACGATCAAAGGTAAATTTGCAATTTTGGAGTAATTTCAGACTATATTCCTTGTAGTTATATTAAATAATACTAAATTCTTCTTTCTTAATCCCTTTATTGTGTGTCTCGTATCTTGATTGTCCCGGTTTTCACTTCTTAATCTCTCTGGTTGCTAACACACCTTACACGACAAAGAACAGGAAAACCTGTAGAGGTATAAACCCCGGGGTTAATAGTGAATCAAAAATCCCACTCTCGTGCAAACGGGTTGTTAAAAAGCCCAAAGCGTCAGTTGATAGCATCCCTCTTAATGTCCATACTTTGGATCACTCAACTCAGACACCACAAGGTCCCAAACAGGAAGCAAGACACCACTCCTCCTATTCCTAAAAAGACCAGTATGGTAGTTAAGAATAGGAGAAAAATGTGTTCCAAGGGTCATTCTACACAATCTGACCTACAGAAACCGCATAAAGATGACTGTTTCGCCTGCTCGATGCCAGCCAAAATCAGTGACTGTGCTTTCAAATGCAACTTCTGTAGTACATTGGTCCATTGTCTTTGTGACACTACAATACCTAAAGAGTTCTATGGATTCATGTTGAGCCAACCCTGCCCATGTTTCTAGTATATCTGCTTACCGTACTTCTGAGGCGTTGATAAAGGCACACGCCCCACCCAAAACAAGCTGAAAAGTCCCAACGGACAAATATAAATTGCCTGGAACTAAACCAGTGAAACAGGTGACCAAGGCGACCAAAACCCTGACTAACACACCGACAAAACTGCCGGTTGTTGTTGATCCCCCAGTATCTGATAAAAATACAGAACAGTGGGTGAACATGAAGAAGAGGAATAGCAACACCCCAACTCACAAGCGGCTACTACTTGAGGACAGGGACGATAGATTAAATTCACTTATTTTATTTAATGTCCCAGTATCGGAAGGAAGTTTGCTAGGAGGCAGGGCTGCTTTTGACAAAGAGCTGTGGGATAAATACTGCACAACCCTCGGAATGTGAAACATCCCAGCGAAAATACGCCGCCTTTTCAAAGGCCAAAATGTCTCGAAAGTAAAACCCCCTCCAATGAGGTTAACTCTTGACTCGGCATGACTTGCTGAAGACATCATCCATTCATCCCAAAGACTATCGGTCAAATTGTCCTCGCTGATTCGCATCAGGCATGACAAGCCGTGGTCGGTACGTGCAGCAGCCAGAACTGCGCCAGGCACCCAAAAACAGACCACCATGGTAGTTCACGGCGTACCCGAACTTGCTGACGGTAACCTGGAGGAAACTCACGTGCACGATGTGCGACAGTGGTGATGGCTACCACGTAGCCTAGCGCTCCACACCACGATGGCTGTTTGCACTTCTAGGTTGCCCCGCCCGTCACACCTTAGGTCCATCAAGTCACCACGTCTGATGGCTGTGACATTTAGGAACCGGAAAGACCTGACTGAGGCACTCCAAGCTTGGTACAGTGCAAGGAACGATCTGTCTAGCCACATTAGGTGTTGCGAAAGCCGACCTAGATCTGTGAGTGCCTCTACAGCAACGTAAGAAGACTAAGGGTTAAACTGTTAGAAATCAGGAATATATATATATATGGATCGGAAGATCATAATCCTAACTAAAACACGGCTATCCTATGACATTGCAGACGAAGAAGTGAGTTTGCCAGGCATGACACTTTCGTAGTGGTAGGGTACACAAAACAGGAGGCGGAGTGACTATATATATATATATATAAACAGCCACTTAAAATCTGAGCGGCTGTAAGACACTCAACAAACTGAGGTGACAGAATCATGTTGGAATTGTTTCCACACAAATGGCATGAATTACATGATTGGAGGGATTTACCGACCTCTCTCGGGTACTAAGGCCCAGAAAAGCAAACTGACTGAGATAATACTGCAACTGCCAATCCTGTGATTTGATCAAATACTCTTAGCTGGAGATTTCAACACCTCATCTCTAAATCTCAGCAATCAGTATACAACTCCCACTGGTCGGTTACAAAGACGACTTTGAGCAGCCAGTAAAAGCTCTGAACTTAGTGAGCACGTATGCAGTGCCACTAGATGGACTAAAGAGGGAAAGTCCTCAAACCTAGATTATCTGTCAACAAATGACTAGCTCCTGGTTGACTATGTTCACGCCCAAACACCTATAGGTAGTAGTGACCATGACCATAAACGAAACACTCAGGCACGTCGAAGACGAGCCCTCCTTTGTTACACTACAGCAAATTATACGCGCATGAGAGAGGTCCACCTACATGCCCCATGGCCACAAGAGTGGTGGAGGCTGACAGTAGATGATCACTCTCTCCAATCTTCAATGGAGTACATAGAAAGGACCCAGCCTGTTACAAACCAGTCGCATTACTACCAATACTATCAAAGGTAATGGAAGGGATAGGGGACGAACAAATTAGAGAGTACACAGATAAGAACAAAATACTACATGAAGCTCAACACGGGTTTTGGAAAGACAGGTCGTGCGTATCTAAACCTGCTGAGACCGAAAACTAGCGGTAGACGTAATATTTGTTAGGCTTATTTAGCTCACCGGCAATGACCTACGTAGACGATGAGAAGATCTGGAGGTCCATTAGAGGCGAAGATGATTCGTCTGAGCTTAAAAAGAACCTTACATCGATTGAGGAACGGACAGTGAAAAACGGTTTAAAACTCAACCAAACTAAGTGCCGCGACGTGCATATTCTGCCTCACACGACGCAAACGATCCACACCTTCAATGGAAGTCCGCTTCCCAATGTCTCCTCGGAGTGCGATCTCGGTTTAATAACCACAGAAAACCTTCACACCAGTCCAAACTATGTAGGGGACGCAGCCAAGGCAAATGCGACTCTTCAATTTATACGAAGACAACTTGGTGCTATCACCCCACAATTATTTTTAATACTATTTAAGACGTATGCGCGCCCACACCTGGAGGTTCACAACGTCATCGCACCCCCTCCGTTTAAAAGAGACATGAATCTCATAAATCGGGTGCAGAGGCGAGCAACCAAATAGGTGATAAGGTTGAAGAATAAGCCTTACGATTATAGATTGCAGTACTTGGGATTATTTCCACTGAACTACAGGAGAATTAGGTGATCTGATTATGGCGTGCCACATATTATGCACGCCAAACCATCTCAACGTAAGCATCTTACCGATGCATCACCACTAATCCCCTCAAGGCAATCCTCAAAAAATTTCACATCAGAGAGCAAATGCTTAAGTTTGTGCACACTTTCTCATTGCGAGTCGTCGCAACTTGGAATGTTCTCCCAGCCAATGTGACCACAGCCTCCTCAGTGGACTGCTTTAAGAAGAGAATTGATAATCACGTACTCACATACAGATTATCATCTCGCTCTTGGACAAGCTATGCCTGATGCATATCTCGAAACCTGCTAGTTGTTATCACTGCCATCTCATCAGATCAGTTACTTAATCTGTCTCTCATATTATCTCTGTTTACTCTCCCTTGTTTACACTTCCGTCCTCTTTCACAATCTTCACTACTAATTAATAAACTAAATCGTCTGTATATTACTTAGTTCTGAAATTTTACTCACATTAACGTCAGAATTTTATCCTTATTATCCTTATTACTCTTCACATTAAATTAACTGATCTCAGGTCTAGTAATGTGATGGCTACTGTTATCTAAAAACTCTACTGCCCTGAAACAAACGTTTTTATTCAAATCCCAAGACAAGCAGAATCACAACCAACTGCCAACGGACTAGAATTAGACAGTCGAGTGGCTAGACCCCCATTCATTGGACACTACGGAACACCTGGAACTGTACCAAAAGAACAAGAATCGAACGCAAAGAAATCAATTGGTTTACACTAGCTCGTGATGAAGCTATTGGATATTGGAAGCTCTCTAGGTCTTCGATCTATCAGATAATGTTGCAAAACCGGAAGTATATTATAAATTAAAATAAGCAATTATTCAGCTCATCTGCTTCCGCTGATAAAAGCTGTATTAATTACTGCATGGGTGAGATTTAACAGACAGAATAATTTCTCAGTTAAAATGTCAGATGAAACGACCTGTCGGACCTCATAAAGTCAGAGACGTTTTTACTACAGAAATCCGGAATCAGGATGTGTTCATTCTGTGTTTCTAGCTAACCATTGCGTCGCTTGAGACATTGCAGATCTTTGAAGCAACTAAACAACTACGTTATCTACACAGTCGCCTAACTAAGAGGCGTCAAAACTTTCGTCATCTCCCTTGTTTATAAAAACTGACCCCCCTGTGTAAGTCCAACAACCCATATGAGAAATATGAAGCCGGTGACATCCTGGAAATTTCTCACCAAAAAGCATGTTGGCGAACATTGGTTGCATTCAAATTCGTATTCGTTCGGGTTGAGTCGGCTAGACGTTCCTTGCAACATCATTACGAAGGACCTGATGAAGTAAAACTAGGGACTAACCCCGTGCGAAATATTCTAGTAAGAAGTCGTGACCAGTGGAGTTCAACCCTGTGAAGCAGTGCTCTCTGAAGACAGTATATGAAGTTGCACAAGACTGTGAATTGACTGAAGTTAGACATATCAACACCGTTAGATACCGGCTCATTGGTACAGAGGTTAGGTCCTGGGTCCGAATCCTGAGGGGTGCAGGATCTACCTTCTTAAAAAGCAACAGAATTAACGGCGAATACGTCCAAAATTGCAATGCTTAGGTTTGAATATTCAGATTTTTCAGATCGGGAAAAATCGCACGTTCTAAAAATCTGATACTGGAACCCTTACGCCTCTTAGTTAATAACCCCAGGAATTATTTTTTAAGATGTTACACTTTATTTATATAAAGTTTTGGAGAGTTTACAGTTATATCGATATAATGATGAATCAGGAGATTCTGACTAGAATTAATAGTTTGAAAAATAAAGCGGCACTTAATTGCACTTCGAAGTAGTATTGATGTAACAGCACAAACCATCCGTATAGCTTAAATAATCCTCCTGTAGAAGTATCATGAGCTCAAGAAATGCTAATTGTCTCGGTATCGTAGGATAGAAAACCTTATGCTGTGTTAAATGTCCTGCTAAGGTAAACTTTAAACAAGTTGCACTGAAGCGCATTCTTTCCATCCCCTGGATAATTCTTTTCTCCTAATATTTAAACAGTTTTGTTGTGACTGCATAGGTCAGGACTAGGCATTGCATAATAACTATATAATGAAAAGCTCCTACCTCCGTGAAGGTCCTTAGACCAATTGAACTGCAATCCTAGTAATGCTCCATGAAAAGATATACTCTAGTTACAGTTTCATTTATCTGGCGTGTATCAGTTTGGGGACAAGCCTTATGAAGAATATGTTAGGTATTTGTATCTCCACACACTAGATCATGAGTGACTCAGAGATGATTTTCAGTTGTCTATAGCACTCTCTAAGTTACGTATTGAAGCTCAGTCCTAACACAGAATCTGAAGGCAATAATCAGAAACTAGGGCCACAGAACACCAATGTCACAGTGAGGGTGCAACTTGCTCCTGACTAGCAGTCAAGTATTAAGATTTGCTACCGACTGAAGAGACCGAAGCGACTTTAAATAACTATTAAGCAATACACCTGAAATGTCCTTAACGACCCAGGACGAAATATCCATATAATTTGTTACTTCCTCTCTTCTGCTTGTATTATGTATCTATGTCCCTACCCGAATGCAGCAATGATTCTATGCGACTTAAAACCTGAGCTATTTGAGCGAATGCTTCTTTAACTTTTAGTGGTGGCCGAGTCGAGACTGACTATGATCACAACTAAGTACTAATTACTGATTACTAGCCTGTCAATGTAGTATAAGAAAATCCAAGGTAAAGAATATATTAGGAGGAGAAAGTGGGCGACATAAGGAGCCGCAAGTTAAGAATGATAACAGCAACGCGAAAATGAACGTTGAACGTAAGTAAGTGTTTTTAGTACAGTTAAACAAAATTGGTAATTCTTTTCATCAATTGCGTTTTCTTCGTAAAAGTGTTCCACTACAAACTCTTGAATCACTAGTGGTGCTCCAACCTCAATACATGAGATTTGTTGTTAAGGACAATCGCATTTTAAGCTAGCCTTTTCTTCTTTATGTAAAAATGCTTGAGTGTGAGTTTTTTTAGACCGACTTAAGACATTTGATATTAAATGAGCGCAGTGATCAAACCAAGGACATGGAAGGCGGCAACCATCGGGAGGACGATGAGGTACTCCGTTACATCAAGTTATTCTATTTTTGAATAGACAGAACAACCTGTACTTGTGGAAGAGCCACTGGACCTCATCAGGCTAAGCTTAGATGAGAAAATCTATGTAAAAATGAAACGCAACCGCGAATTACGAGGTGTCTTGCACGTATGTTATTTTATGCCTTCTTGGTAGATGTATAAATTACTAATGACTCTACGAGCATATTTATGTTTACTTATGTGTTATTCGGTTTCATTTCCTTTTTGGAGTACCATAGCTCAAGGGTAAAGTCTGCGTTTAACTTTTAGCGGTCCTGTAGCTTCAAGGGTTACAAAACTAATGCCTGTTGATGCAATAACTAAAACTTTAGTAGTTTCATCATACTTTTAATATCTGTGATTACCAAGATCGTTTGTTTTGTTAAAATCAGTGATGGTAATTGACTACCCTGGCTATATGTAAGGTCAGTATTTTCACGAAAACACCACTTCAGCATGATCGTAAAAGTGACTTATTTTCCAGTTTATATTCTGTAAACTAAAGTTAAAAACCCATAAAATACTTTTCTTGGATGGAGAAAGTTTATTCGTTCAGTTAGTATTGTGTCTTAGAATTATTATACCGTTGTGTAATAAATTGCATTCATCGATAGTGAACTTTTTATGGTCCTAATTTAAACACTGTGCATTTCACAGATCTTCTTAATACCATTCATTTTAATTGTCTAACTATACAGTATTATCCAGGTGTCAACAAGCTATAATTTTCAGGTGGTCACATTATCATATTCATTTATTGCCACTGTTAATCCATCCTTTATTAGATTACCCTCAAAGATTGCTATGTACTCGGCTGGGTTCAATATATTAGGACTTGCTAGGAAAATTTTTGCTTAAGCTCATGTTCCGTATGTTACTTCTTTTCCGTTATCGCTGCTTACGTTAAGCGATATGCCTCACTGTTTAATCCGTATTGTTCTGTATAATCTTTGTCTAAACCATATAACCCTAGGATCAAACTTTATACTCTGCAACTGTTCTGGCCTTCATATGTCATAGATTTTGTCTGAAGCTTGGATTGACGTATGTTGAGCACTGTTTTCAGTCAATAGTCACAGGCATCGCGAAACTAGTTCTCTAATAAATAGTGATCTTTTTTTACTTAGACAAGCTTCAAGTTAGTGGTTCACTGAATAAAATACTCAACTCTCATGTAGTTGGTCACTAAGTAGGATGCGAATATATGTGAAGTCAAATGTTTGCATGTGTATTTCCGTTAGGTAATGACTTATAATATTAGTTTTTATTTATCTCATTTCATTCACGCATACTCACCATGCTCTTTCTGTAACTTCAGTTCACCTGTGCATTCTACACAGGTTATCCCAGCTTACGAAATACTCTTCTTGATTTACTATCTTAGCTTACGGATTTAATGACTAATAATTTGGCAACATAACATAGTTGTAGCTGATTCGTGGTCAGTGTGATAACAGAATATTTTACATGAGGTTCCCGACAGTCCGGTAATAAATTTATTTTGTTATTTAGCTGTAGAGATAGCATCATGAAAAGCATTCAAACAATCAATCAATAGCAACCTAAAACTATGTACGTACGTACGTACATCAGTTCATGTTACCAAAGCACATTAGCACAGAGATGTAATCGTCAATTCGAATCCCATAGTAGTAGGGGTAGTCAAGGTATTAGCAGTAATCGGAGAGATTAGAATTAGAAAATATCATTCAAGAAGTAGAATCTAGTGAAATAAACTAAAAAAGATAAAGTGACGAGGAATTAAAACGTTTAGGATTTGAGAGAAAAAAAAGAATGAATGCACCTGCGCCATTGCAAATGGTTTTGAGTCATGTCATTCAAGGTCTCTTACCATCGATTATCTTCTCGCGGACCCCAACCAGATAGTTGACACATACAGACATGACTCAGTCCATTTGTCAGTGACTTCATGGATTTGTGTCATGTTTTGGTTTGGCTGCCCTTAGCTTTCAACCAACTTATTCCTACACCGAAAAATATAGCTTGACGGGGCAGTCGGTGGTTAGACAAACACAACACATATCTCAACCACCTCAACTGATGCACTCTCAATACTTCATCTATTGACCTGCCTAGTACTCGGCTGTCCCAGGATATACGAGCAATGCTTCGAAGACATCTATGATCGAATACTAATAACCTACGAATGTCTTCTATTCTAAATGGCTATGTTTCACAGCCATATAGTAGGACGGAGTGAACTACTGCGCAGTACATTCATCCTTTAGTCAGCAACCGGATATCTCGCCTGCGCCATAAGTGACGCAGGTTGGCAAAAGCCAATCAAACCTGTATCCGTGCTACGATTTCGTTAGTCATCAGACCATAAACACTGATGAGACTCCCCAGATAAGTGAAGCGGTCAACACGCTCAACTACTTCACTCCCTATCACTAGTTCAGGTGCCGATACAAGCCCATCTTGAAGCAACATTTTGCATTTCGAGGGGAAAAATCGTATCCCAAACATGCTTGCATTGTTGCTTAGGGTAGTCAGAAGACTGCATTGTGTCAGCGTCTTCACCAAGTAGAACTATGCCGTCTGCATATTCCATGTCAACCAATGAATCTCCTGGTAGGTCTGCTCATGATAATTCAGACGAAGACAATGTTATATCTAGAAGCATGTCTATGACAAAATTAAACAAGAATGGAGAAAGTGGACTTCCCTGACGGACACCACTTGAAGTAAAGAATTCGGATGACAGTTCGCCATAAGTTGTCTCTTGACCACATAGTGTTCGGGTAGAGAGCTTGTATAAGGTTAATGCACTTCTCTGGTACACCTTTTAATGACAGACACTACCACAGAACCTCACAATCAACAGAGTCGAATGCTGCCTTAAGGTCCAGGAAGGCAACTATTGTAGGACGCCTTAATGTGTGACTGTGTTCCAGGACCTGTCGTAGTGTGAAGATGTGGTCTATACAGCCACGTCCAGGTCGAAAACCAGCCTGGTTTTCTCTACTCTGCTCTTCACGAGCTCTAGTTAGATGTCTAAGTATAATAGAGGCTAACAATTTAGAAACTATGTTAGTTAGACTTATTCGCCTGTGATTGTCACAAGAAGACTTGTGTCCTTTCTTATAAATTGCGACAATCAGGGATTGAGACCAGTCGGATGAGATTGTGTCCAGTTCCCAGATTCTACCTAAGATCTCAGTCAACCTAGCTGCTAAAACTGGACCACCATCCTTAAAAATCTCAGGAGTCAATCTATCGGGTCCTGCTGCTCTACCTCGCTTCAGATTTGCTGTAGCATTTTCAACTTCGTAAAGGATCAGAGGGCTTACGTCGACTTGCCATTCTGGATGACTGGAGATCGTGGGTAACCGAAGTGTGGCTGAAGGCCAGTTGAACTGATCCCTAAAGTGTTCTGCCCATCGATTCAATCTCCTAGATTGAGAATCAATAATAAGACCATCCTTGTCTGAGATAGTTTCGCTAACAGATGGACCTCTAATACCGCTTTCCTTGATGAGTCTGAACAACTGTCTACTGTTGCCTATCGCCGCTGCCTTTTCCATCGCTTTTGCCTTCGCCATCCACCACTGTTCGCGGTCGTTGCGTAGGCTTTTTATCAGCCTGCGCCTAAGCTGACTTCGCTCTTCATCATGTTCAAAGCCAGATGAAATGAGTTTTCGAGCATCCACAGCTTCTCCGTAACCTTATGGTTCACCTTACTGGTAGATGTAACTGCTGTTTCCACAGCTTTTTTGATATCATTCCAACCTGCCTCCGGATAGGAATCACTTACATGGTCACCTAACTGCTTTTCTAGTTGCTCCTGCAATATATTCTTAGCTCTGCTATCATTAGGTAGAACCCTAAGAGGTTTCCTTGCGGTGTCTTTCCTACGTCCAGTAAGATTCAAACAAATACGCGCTCGCACTAGGGCATGATCCGAATCTAAACATGTGCCCAGAACGATCGACGGTCCTCTGTCGAACCCTCCCATCGGTGGCTGATGGCGATGTGATCTAGTTGGGTCTATCTTTGTGAAGACTTTGGGGGTAGCCAGGTCAAAAGGTGTTTTACCTTATGCCTAAAGTGGTATGGCAACATAAACTGATGTAGATACGCGCAAAGTTCCTCGTTGTAGCTGACTGACTGTAACGTGAATTTGGAGAATCACGAAAGCAACTATCCACAAGGCACAGTTGTTAAATAAAAGTTGTATACACAAGATACTCGGAATCCGTTCGCTCAACATCATCAGTATCAACCTACTTGCGAGAGAACATACCAGATTCCAGCTGAGGAAGAAACTAGGAAAAACTGCCCCAGGTGGATAGGACACGCATTAAGGAAAGCACCCAAATGAATCACAAGACAAGCTCTCACTTGAAGTTCTCAAGGCTAAAAGAGGAGAGCAAGACCAAATAACACATTACGCCGAGAAATGAAGACAGATAAAAAGAATGAACAGCAGTTGGATAGAACTAGAGAGGAAAGCCCAGGACACAATAAGGTGGAGAATGATTGTCAATGGCCTATGCTCCATTAAGAGCAACATGCTGAATACATACATATATTGCAAATATAGATAATTGACAGTTAGTTACTCCTGGTTTGTCCATCATAACTGTTAAACTAATTAGCATGAAGGAAGTTTATATGCAGACAATAATCACGTTTATGTATTCTGTACACTTCTTTCTGTTCATACGAATACCGATGACATAATTCTGGGCCTTGATTAAGTGATCTGAGACTAATGTAGTAAATCTGTAGACAACACCATACTTCTGTTTGGTTATAGAAAGTAGTTGTTCCGCTTATCGCACACGTTTTTTGGATTTTTGTGTCTACCCACCAGTATCAAGGTTTAGTACTTCATATTGTTGTCAGTCATTCATAATACGTGTCATACAATCGTGGCGGTTATACTAAATGTAAATCTCTCTGCTTTTTCACTGAAACAGGCTTTTGATTCACACTTGAACATGATCCTGGGGAATGTTGAGGAAACTGTAACAACATTGGAGATCGATGAAGAAACATATGAAGAAGTTTACAAGGTAGTTTATTTTGATCTTTAATAAAATGCCCTCATTGTAGACAACAAAACGCACAATACCAATGCTGTTTATTCGCGGAGATGGTGTTATTCTTGTTTCGCCTCCTCAAAAGGAGTGACCTTTGTACAGTCAATTTTATGTATCGTGATTCACATTTACATATTTGCAAATAGATCGTATACTCTAACAGGTTTAAAGTTTTCCCTCAATAAATAATTATATTAGTTAGTGGTGGGACTATCCCGACCTTGAGTTATTTACTTCTAAGACAGCACAGTAATTTTTTACTAGCCAGTAGATGTGTGTGCGACATGACGTAAAAGTAAGACATGTTCAGTAAATTCCAGCGTGTAGTTCGATCAAAATGTGAAGTGCAATAACACGATATCAGTCAGATACAACGTAGAACTTCGTACATCAGTTCAGGTTGCCATACCACATTCCTATAGTGATAGATGTAGTAGAAGTATAGCGGTAATAGAGAAAATAGGGGTTCGAAGATAATATTCAGAAACTTTAATTCAATGAAATAAATTTAGAAAATGAACGATGGAGGTGATGAGGAATTTAGAAGATTAAAATTTGAAGTAAAACAAAGAGTGGATACACCTCTGCCATAACACGATATACTAATTATTTAATAAATAGATACTACAGATGTGTCTGTTAACTCTTGGAGTTTTACATTTTTTATAGACAGCCAATCCTAAAACTGTTTAACAAAATATCAATCTGGTGTCCACTCATCTCGAATGATGCACATCCTAATTACCATTTCAGGTCAAGGCATTCAATAAAACAACAGCCCAATAGCATACTAGTAGAAGATTGTATTGACCTTGAATAGGAACCAATTGAAATCCTTGTATGTATTGATGTACATTATTTGGTTCTAAAGTCAGGTAAATGCCAGTAGCGTTTACAAGAAATCGATTTCAAATTTATGCATTCCAGCGCTATCTTCCCCCCAACCTTAAGTAAACTCGGTTTCTGAGTACAATCGAAGCACAGTAATTCAACGCTATTCAAAAGTTTTGGATGACTATTGGGATTATTCGTCCAAGTTGTATAAATACCCTAGTCCTAATATTGACCGGTTTGAGCAAAACAGTAATATCTTATTATAATAGGCTTCAGATTCGAACACTACGTCACAAATTTTTCTGTTTCATAAGAACAAAATTTCTTCTGTATTAGCTACAACGCTTTTCATAGAAGGAAATGATCTTAGCAATACTTCTAAAAATTACATATCTCATGAGGGACATCAACGCAAGTGGGGTGAATTGTTCTGATAAAAGTACTGAAAATATCAGCTGCGGAATTTTCGTACAACCACTGAGGTCCACTTAGACAGCAGTTTACTAACAGTAACAATCAATTAATCATACCTAACGTACAAACTGGAATTAATAAGTATCGACCAAGTTTTTAATGTAATAACACTTCCCATTTATGAACACACAAGACGAAATTATAACCTACTTATTTATAGCTCTGAAGAAAAAACCCATACAATCACGATACATTTCAAACTCACAATGCGAAATGATTGGGGGTTTCATAAGTATTTCATATACTAAGATTGAACAATTATTTCGTGTAGTAGTAACTAAATAGAACGGGGGACGGTCTCGGGAAATTCGAAACCTCAACAATTGCCAGTACTGAAATTCAGTTAAGCTTATCGATATTAATTAATACTATAAATCCCTTGGGTGCAGAACAGTGGTATGAAGAGGAGCATTATTCAAACTGAAGCATTTATATGTATCATATTCTATAGAGAGAATATCTGAACTACAATTATTTAATATAAAGATATAAAAGTTTGCACCTAACAGTGCTAAAAAAATAACATGTTCAAGAAAAAAATAGAGGACACAGTAGTCAAACTGGTATGTTGAAATCGATTTCGTTGACTGTATTCCTGATATGTAGGCTGGATTGTTGAAGGAAACGCAAGATAACATCCGCCCAATTACTGCAAAACCAAGTATCATTATGATGGCCATCCGGAAAGCTTACAAGACCATCTGTTCCAGAATTAATGAAAGTAACTGGGCTTTGGGAAAGTGATTTGGGCTTTGACGAATCGTCATACATCACGCTTGAACTACAATCATTTTGAATATGTTGTTTCGCTACTATGTCTTTGTAAGCTTCAGCAAGCTTCCACATCATTTTTGGTGGGATAATATTATCTAACTCACCTGAGATAAGCAATAAAGGTGGGAAAGCAGAGGACTTTTTCGTAGACTTGCTACAATCTTGTAGTCTTGCCAAGGAGGTATACTGATTTAAAAATAACCAAGAGGGAAATTTACAAGGTATACTAAGAATATGACTTGCAGTTTCAGCGATAGATGTAAATGTATTTTCAACAATAACACCACATATTTTTCCATTCGATAGAGGATCCACTGCTAAATAAATAGCTAACGCTCCTCCTAATGATCGACCAAATACAAATATTTTTTTATTGTTCAAATCATTTCTTGTGTGTAAATAATTAAGAGCACATTTACAATCTGCATATAAGCCCTCTTCACTTGGTTTCCCTGTACTTTGACCGTAACCTCGATAGTCAATTATAAAAATATTACATTGTAAATGTTTTTCTAAAATTTGACACATTGGTAGTCGAGCTGTAGAGTTTCCGGCATTTCCATGCAAAAGTAGAACAATTGGACAAGATTTTCTATGAGATAAATTAGGCTGAAGAAGAAGGAAACCAATAATTGTTGGTCCATTATTACCATCTGGATGTAATTTTACTAATTCCCATGTATAAAATCCAAACAATGATGGATCGATGTATAGGAACTTTGCCGATGGTGGTTCGTTACAAGCATACACTATTGATTGTTCTAAATACTGAAAACAAAACCATAAAGCAAATAATAATAATACAATTGAAATGAAGAGAGAAACGGGTAAAATCAAATAATTAAGAAATAAACAGATTGGTATCCCGAAAACAATAAGAATAAACAACAATCCAGGCACACGTGTTGAATTATCACAATTGTTAGTTGATAAACAAAACGATTTTAGATTTATTAGCCAATGATTGAACTGAGAATAAATTGGTCGAAGAAAAAGGAACAAACGACCCACTAATCTACGTCGCATTGTTAAGTCTTCATTCAATTGTGCATTTGATTCACTTGTTGAAGTTCCTGAGGTCTGAAATGTAAAACCAAAATTAAATTTACACAAAGTTTCTTAACAAAAACTTTTTTGAATGTAAACATCATGAATGTTACTTACCAGAGCAAGTAATCTTTCAAAAAGTGAAATAAAGTAATTGTCAAACAACGACAGAAAGGATAAACAGAAAAATATAAATCTGATAGGAAACTATGGTAAACATTGTTTCATATACATATAATCAATTTTAAAATAAAAATGCAATGGCTTCATACGGATAACTTCAAGCATAGGCAATTCTTCTACCTAAGCCTACTGATATATTACCATACAGAATCGGTTAGATGCGAATAGATGTTCCAGTTGCATTTCACCCTATCATATTCCATGTAAAAAGTTACAAAAACCGCTCACGAAAAAAATCTGTATACTTCCACAAAAATGTTAATCATAGCTATTAAATACAACACGACAATACATATTATTTGTGCCATTACTACTAATACGTAAACGAATTTTCAAAGATTCCCAAATACTATTAGGATAGAATAACAATTTTATTCAAGATGTGGTGACAAAAATCTGATTTTGATTGAGTACAATCATTCAAACATTATCGGTGTACAATACGAAATGATAGAGTTTATGTGAAACATTAGATGTGGTGGTAATCAGTGTTCAATGCTGTTAAAATAAACGAATCGCAAATGCCCAAACACTGTACTATTGATGCAAATTTAGTCAACTTAAATTTTATTCGAAACACGATTGAATACACTCGTAAATATTTAAATAATGAATTAGATATATTTGCAATTACCTACAGTGAATATAGAAAATGATTACATTTTCAGATAAGAACGTTTTAAAAGCGACACCAACTAACAAACAGCATTCATTCTTGGAGAGAGCAAGAACCATGAATTGAGCAGAATAACATGATCCCATATTATTTTGTAAAATTCTTCCAACTGATTACAACCTATGTATTAGATACTTACAACTATGAGAACGGATATACGTCACCATATTGAAGTAATGAGACACATAAAGCGTTGTTATTTTTTTTTATGTAACCAACTAATGACTATGTTTATATCATCTCTTGAGTTTTAAATATTGATTTACAAAACTACATGTTTTCAACGATGATACAAATCCATTGTTACAGTTACGAGTATGTAAACCTTGCAATAACTTGATTATCAAATTTTTTTTAGATTGTAAACAGCTGATGAGGACAGTACGAAATAAAATGAATATATGTAATTTTGCTCAATTCTTCGTTTCGCTCTCGTCAAAATAACAAATGTATAAATCCATTCTGCTAACTACTGAATAATAAACCACTCTTTTATATAGAGAAAGGAACTCAAAGTAATCATTGACATATCAAAAAATAAATAAGAATAATAGTAAAAATTGCTCGATTTCTTTCTTGGACTATTTCACCAAATTCCAGCAGATTACGTTTGAAAAACATGAAGTGTTAAGTTTGGAAGCTTGCGATTTAGCGACCAGATCAGCTGGAAATTATACAATTTCAATGAGTCTGAACGAGAAAATTATCAGGTTAGAAAGTAATCAAAAAGTTTCTAAACCCTTTGTTAAGACATTTTCCGTTTGAGAAACATATGGAAAAAGTAGATTTAGCAAGATCTAAACGTGTTCTGTGTGACCATCAGACAACTATACTTATTCAATAGTCAGAGAACAGCAGTAAAAGTCTTATTTTCAATCGATCAGGTAAGGTTACATGTTAACATGATTAAAAATGTGAGGTACCATTTCAGTTCATATTTTTCAATTTCATCAAGACTCATCCAAATCTAGATAACTATGTTCATTGTCTGTACAGAGAGAATACATAATGGAACTGGTTTTAGATACGTGAATGAATAAGCTACACTGCCAGCAAATCCGGAAATTTAGACGAATATTACATTACAGTAAATCAGTTTTTTCAAATGAAATATAAGACACCCAATAACATCTTAGGTTCACTGACCTAACCTTTTTATACTCGAAATACTAATAATTTGGTGATAATCTCGACACGCGACAGAAAACCAAAAACAGCATTTCTGACGCATAGCAAAGAAAAACGTTTATCATAAGCACAACTCCTATTAACTTCACTTCATTCTGATATTGCGCATGTACGTAGTCGCATGAGAACAATACATACATCTGAAGCTGTACAACTGTATGATGCAGTTTAGATGTATACAAACCCGAAGGTTCACCAAATAGCCATGTGCAATCAAACGCAGAACAAATGAAAACCCAAAAAATGATAAACCTTATTTCGACATTGCAAAAAGATCTGCAAACGAGATGCGAATCTAAAGTGTATGCGAAATATTTATAGTGGATATGAGAGGGGATAAAGATAAAGCAACGCACACTAAAAATAAGTCTTCGATAATTTATACAATTTATTTATACAAATCAGAATAAAAAACATTTGTACAAAATTAAGTTATCTGAGTATGATATTTATGCACTTAGTCCAGCTTTTTTCTCTGCAATCACATATATTAACAGGCGCCACATTTTTACAACAAATACTTCTGCTTCTTCATCTAAAACCTGAAGACAAAAACAACAAACCAAATTACAATAGCATTAAAACAATGGTGCACTATGAGTAAATTCATTATAATACTTTGATAATTATACGAATATGATCGAAAGTGTGCCACACATGATGAAACTTGAACACTAACGGTGTGAACTTTACTAAGATTGATCAATCAGAAAATTAGGAATAGATTAACATTTAGTAGGCAATGTGAGCAGCACTAAAATGATAGATGTGATGTGGTTTTGGAAGCTGTAATCAGATTGTCTACTAATAAAAATTCAGATTTCAAGTGTTCAAGCATGATTCTTGAAAGTCATCTTTCACGGGTTATTCAAGATGTATAAAAAAAAAACACATAACCTTGCAACTAAATCAACTAATATCGCTCTACTTTAACCGTTTTCTACCATCCCGACATAGTTCCACTGATATTTAAGGAATGCTACTGGTTTTCAAGAATCGCTTCTCACCAACATAGAATGTAATACAAATGAGAATTAATCTAAGCTTTCAAATGCTCTGGTACAGCCATGTAAAATAAACATTACGTATGTTCGTCTGAACAAACTATGTTCATTCATTTACACCACACATGCCCCTCCAAATGCGCACTCTGTCCGTTCTCGGAATAATTTCACATGGTCAAGTGTATAAAGCCACTATTAGGGAAGTTCTACCAACTGCTTTCTCATTGTGGGAGTGTTGTTAATGAAATTGGGGGAAAAAAGGGAGTGACAAGAGCTTAAATCGGGTTGATGGGTACGGAAGTTTTACTACAGGCAGTTGGAAAACCCAGATTTCCCACCGACGGTGTACATGGGTTCCACGATCCTAAGAGAAGAAATGGTGTATGGACGTATTATTGATCGCCGTCTAGGATTGAGTCGTATCTCCTAACGTTGCCCTGTGGATTAGACGTCCAGATCAAAGGCGTAAGGAGTGGGCCTCGAAGAAAACCACCTGCTTCAGTTTGTACACCTAGGCAGTATTTTAGCAGACACACAAATCCACTGACCGAGTTTAATCATGTATGAATGTTTACTACTAGCTTTTTTCAAATTACTAAAGCACTGTGCTGAGTAATTACTTACCATGGCAATGTCAGCAAGAATACGTTCTGGTGGATTGTGATGTAGAAGTTGATCGCATATGAAACTGGATAAAGTTGCCTCTGCTTCACCGATATAGCTTACAATCTTCTTGTCTACCCAAGGCTTTATCCGAGAATTGACGAAATCCTGAAAGAGAATAATTATTTGGAAAATTATGTATTGTAAATCGTCATGGGGATGAATAAAAAGCAAGAACAAATAAACCACTTATATTACAAGCATGTCAGAAGTGACGTAAAGCTCTAGATAATAGAAAAACCTTCTGTTAGTACCATGCAAATTGCTTGATATCCATTTAACTTCCAACTGTTTGGTAGCAGTTTTTACATTCGGTTAAAATCACTGACCGTAATAAAAAAATGGGGTTCAAAACTGACTACAAGAACCAGTACTTAGTCAGTGAATTGTAATGAAATTTACTAGTTATCAGACTAATTAACGAAACAAGGGCACATTTGTTATTCAAAATAAAATTGCCCTATTTCTATAGGACCGAAATACTGCACCATACTCATGGCTACTAATGCACAACACAAAATAAGTGGTAGATTCGTACATTGCTTATAAAACACAACACTTACAGAATCAACCATATCCCAATCAATAGGATAGGCAAACAGTTCTCTTTTGTGAGTTGGTATCCCCTCAATAATCCTTTTGATAATTGCTTTCTTTTCTTCCGTAGACAACGCTGAAACTGGTGGTAAGTTGTTTGAGTCACCCCCATTTGAAGTATTGGTTACTGAGTTAGCCTTTAAAGCTGATGGTGGCAGCCATGAAAGACCATGTTTTTTCGGTTTTTCATCCTGCTCCTCGTCAGCGAACGCCGATGCAGTTTTGCGAACAACTGGTTCAACTAATATGAACAAGAATTAAAAAGATAAATGTAAAATACAAATACACAGATTATCTATTACCAGAAAAATTCTACCCCGTGTATTTTAACCAAAGAAAATGCTGAAATAAACAAAATATACACATAAGCATGAGTGGTATTTTAACCTGGTCCCCGACTACACGTGCATTCTGGAATCCTTTGAATTAAAGTATTTACATTATCTTGGAGCCCAGTACAAAAAATGAAGTGTAACATCCTTGCAGTATACATAAGATAAAGTTGTCCTTAGTGATGGAAACAAGAATCCTAGGAAATAGGATTATATGAGTTTTGAATAACTGAAACTTTGAGTGAAATATTAAAGTTATATGAAGTAGTAAATAAAAGGACTAAAGTGACTAATACGATGTGTATTTGTATCAACCAAAGTAACCAAGTTATGCAAATAATCAAGTGCAGGTTTACGTATCTCGCTTTGCATTAGCGCTTTGAAAACTCAAGTAGTACACTTTTAACTCGATCATGAGTAAATAAACACACCGTAAACTTGAGCGCCAATATAAAAAATAATTGCAATAATGAGTTGGTGATTGACTATTTAACCAGTGTGTGTCGACATAATAGGATGGGTTCAATATGATGATGAATTCTCGATTAGGATATCAGTTAGCCAATCAGTTATAAGCAAAATAGAACACAAGTCTGTCGATCCACGTTTATACTATATACGCATAGTGAAGTGAGGTTATCAGTGATAGTAGAAAAGTCTAAACATAAACAATATGATTTGAGAATGCGGCATAAAAGTATCAGGAAATGTTAAAACTCAAGATCTAGGAGAAAACAAATAGTGAATATATCCGCATCATTGGGATTTTGAACCATGCCACCTAACAATATACAGTACAACAGTCAGTAATGAAGCCTCTAAATAAGAACATCGTACTAAGGAATATATATATATATATATATATATATATATATATATATATATATATATATATATATATACCCTTAATCGATGGTCCATAAGACACTATATTCTCCTACTACACAATAAAAACTGATCAAGCTTTGTGGGACAATATCGACTAGAGATATGCAAAAAGAATCTCTACCTGCTTCTAACAGAACTGAGATATCGCTAAACAAGATTTTATACCTAAGCATTGTTAACAGTCCTTAACAGCTAACAACAATAATAATTATTTTCACAATCAACTTACGTCCCAAATAAGATTTTCCGCCAGACAAGAACTAACTCATTGACTTGTTGCAGAAGTAAATAGATGGAACTAACAAATTTTACCAACAGCATTTAGATTTGGGGTGCATGTAAACAACTTACCAATTTCACCCTAATAGCTGAGATCGCTATATCCAAAATTCCTCACCGTACTACGTTATAATCTATCTGGAAGCTCAAGTTATTCTTTAAAAATGTTTATGAAACGCGATGAGATATAGTAGAATTGAATAGTTTCTGATAGTATCCCTCTAACTTAACAAGCATAACTATGAATGAAAGACACTGAAATACAATAAGATCAACGGTAGGTGATTTAAAATTAAAACGCAATTACCTGTACTCATTGAAAATAAAAAGGTATTGGAACCGTCCTTCAGTAAACTGACAGTTGTCTCTTCAGGAGCAGCAGGTTCGAACTCAGAGGTAACGCCATTGCACGCAGGTGATAAATTATTGGTTTCAACTGACTTAACCACACACTCGAGGTTTTTAGACTAAAACAGAATCACAATATACTGATCACACGAACCAAAAGCCTAGCTAGAAAAACACTTGAAATCGAACTGAAAATGTCAAGTAAATGGAAGTGGTGCCTAAGAAAAATGTTTTAAGTAAGTCTGTAAACAATACTCTTTATAGTATGACGAATAAGATTACTAGCAGCCTTTTCATCTATATATATGAATGACTACTGAAATGACAGGTCTTAACCCACCAGAAATCTTATTTGTCGTACTATGAAGGTCCCCTGAAGAATGTGGTCCCACAGTATTACATATCGCTTGAAAACAGAATGTTATCAAATGACATAAAACACAACGTAGGCAGGAATTATACGCTAAGGACTGCTTTGAACTTTTAAATCCAAAAACAATTACTTTATGACATCGTTCGTAATCCGAAGACTGAACCACAATAATGCATTACTTTGTTTGCAAACTTTGTAAAGATTGTTTTGATTTAGACTATTGCTATAAAAAAGAGCACAGTATTACGAGACAACGAAGTGTAAACGGAACTCTACTGATATAATAAACAAACGACTAAGGAAATGAACTGGAAACGAGAACTAGCAGATGATATTTACAATACAGCACATGATACAATAAGAGTTGTAACTTACCTCTTCTTCAGCGTTCGGCAAATTTTCACTAACCGGTTCAGGACATTGATTGTCAGTTGATTCAATCGACATATCACCATTAACCAGTAAACATTTTCTGAGGTGCTCCTGCATTTTTTGTTCCATTTGAAATATAATGGATTCTGCATTTGGATCACCTTCATCGATTAGCTTTCGGCGAGCTGTCTCAAGTTGCTCAATTTCCTTTTGTCGATCACGTTCATCAGCCGCTTCTTCAATTTCACGATCTTTCAAACGCTGATGGAAAGCACTCCCTCTGTAGAAAAATTGTAAAATGTAAAGTACAATGTAAATTTGAAAACATTGAAAAACTAATATGTTTATGTGAATGCTTAACCCTGGAAATATAAGAAAATAGAGTTGCCAGTGTTTGAAATATTATGTAAGTCCATAAAACTTAATTACATTTGCATCTCAGGGAATCACATCGTAAACAACCAGTTATAAATCCTTCAAACTGATCACAATAGCAGTAGTGCTCAGTATTGAAAGGTGGGGATATAAATGTGCACCAGAAAAATGGATCCAATGCACGACAATATCCACTACAGTGGAATACAAACAGCAGAATCTAGCTATACAATGCTGCATTCAGCGTCAACAATTTTTTATCATCATACGGAAAAGGTTTGGAGAAGAAGAAATACAGAAACATTTGAATGTTGGAGTGTATCTACGTATCCAATTAAAATGTTTAACTGAGCTTTTACATTCAGATTAATATTTAAGAGGTAATGAGGATAACCTAGATTGCTGTATGACAATATACGCAGACTTATTTTGCCTGTTAAACCACTAAGAGCCCCGGAAACAACATTCACAAATCATGAAATACATGAACGACCAATCCATTAAGCTTATTAAAGCAACTATTAGCCGAGAGACTTAAAATGTAAATGTTACATTATATAGCAAAAACACAACAAACTAACATCTAATCCTACCTATAATACTTAGGATCTTCCACGTTGTCATCATAATCTTCAAAAAACTCCTTCAGTCGTTGAGCTTCGATCTGAAGTTCACGTTGTCGTTTCCTTTCATGCTCCCTCTCATGTTCATATTCATTAGCTTTTTTTCTCTCACGAATTTCCCACTGCTTCAGTTTCTGAAATTAGCAAATCAAGAATAGGATAAATTAGAGAACTTTTTACATAAATGGAACAAAATAATAAGATTCCACAAAATGAAGGTGATGTAGTGTTTGAATAACTTATAGGTTGCAAGTCTCGTGACCAAACTGAATTAAAAAGAATAAACCGAATAATAATTCACCAGGAACTAAGTTATGAGCTACACTCTAAAATAAGGGCTCATAATAATACTCGGTTGCCTAAACTGAAGTAGTTGGAGAGAAGTTTGAACCTGAGACATGGTGGACTAGTGCCGAGCAAAATGGGTGTCCTTTGATTCCAAATGTAATTTCTTTTTAAAAGACCTACATTAACTAAACACCTAAATGTTGTAAAGCTTCTAGTTCAAATTTCGACGAAACTTCTTAGTCTTGTTTGGACCATATGAAAAGTAACACTAATTTTCCAAAAATGATTAATATGCCCATCCTTTTCCGAGATAGTCTTGCTCATAGTCATATTCCTAATACCAGTTTCCTTGGTAATCCTGAACAGATGTCTACTGTTACCTAGGGAGGGTACTTATTCCATCTCCCTAGTTTTCACTACCCACCATTGTTCGCGATTATTGCGAAGGCTTTTTATCAGCCTGTGCTCAAGCTGACTTTGCTTTTCGTCACGTTCGGAGCCAGGTGGGATGAGTTTTCGAGCATCTATCAGTTTTCTGTCTTCTCTCATGACTTCATGAGCTCAGGAAATTTCCTTATCTCCTTTTAAAATCAGTTTACTAGATTATACTTTTTGAATAATAAGTATCTGCGATCCTTAGTCTTTTCCATTACAACTAATACCTCTACTACTATGAAATTTGAATTCGTAATTGCGTCTCTGTACTGTGGTATGGCAACTTGAACTGATGTACACACGTACAAAGTCCTACGTTGCAACTGACTGACTGAACGACTTACTGCCTTTGCGTGAGTTTTTGCGAAATTGAGAGGACGAAGAGAACCTCTACTGCTTTAACCGGATTAGTGGGAACGGAGGGCATTTGGAAAATCCTAACTCTAAACCAATGACGTACGTGAGCCTCATGATATTGAGGGAATAAGTGGCGCATGAACCTAGAGTTGGTTACCGACTACTATGGAACTGCATCTCCTGACGTTGTCCTACTACTTCTCGGATTTAACCTATAGGTCAACAACCTGGCAGGTGAATCCATATGAAGACCACCTACTTTGGTTTGGGCACTCGGACAGTATTCCACTTCACTCACAGAGTAGTTTAGTTCTTCTTTGTAATAAACGTGTTTAAACAAATGTGAAGTCTACAGAGCTTCTAGACCACTAACAATCATTACTTACTCAGTCTCAGTTCTACTAACCTAGACATATATGATACAGACGGTATCTTCACTCCAGAATAAGTCTTACGTGAGTCTCTAGCGCGGACCGTTACAAGTCAGTAATGATTAGAAGCAGGACTAACCTTTTGATACGATTCTTCTTTTTCACGTAGCTTTTTTTCTAGCTTCTTCTTGATTGATTCTTCTTCATTATCGATATCCTTGTTAGACGTTAAAAAGCAACTAGTTATTGGTTTCTGTGACCTAGAAGTCAACGAACCTGAGCGACTCCTACTTCGGCGACCTCTGTCTCGACGATATTCACGTTCAGCCCGGTCGTTCATAGAATACGATGAATGTAACTGCAGGTTTGTCGAGCTTGAGCGTCCAGAATCAAGACCTTTTGAGCGTGACTGTTTGTTATCATTTTGGTCTTCCTTCTGACCCATAGGAAAGTAGACGATTTCAAAATACAACATTTGAAAAGTTTAGCAAGGATAATGATCGTATGTAGGACGGGAAATATAGAAGTAAATAGAGCAGTTGCTCTTCAATACTATAACAGTATATCATCGTAAGACTCACCGATACTGACATGGGCAGACAACTGAGGATTGACACGACAGACGCCATGCTAAAAGTTAATTAAATGTCCCATGTAAGGGATTTCCATTATGCTTAGACGCAAAAAAAACTAAGCGTATGGGCCGAGCTAACACTAACTGACCTTATTTACGTAATATAGGAAGTAAACTTACATTAATCATAAGGGGAATTAAAATGGATTCAAATTTATACCCATTCACACACAAAAAGGTTCAGAAAATCAGTCGGCACTGTAATCTGTACCAAAAATACCAAAATCTAGCTTTACCTCGTTTCGTTTGCGAAAGCTCTCGATTTCACGGTTAATAAGATCTTTACGATCATTGTCAAGATCCATGTCCTCGATAGTCTGGAAAAATAACAACACAATATATATATATATGACAATATTTTAATTATAACCAGCCCTGAAGAGTTCCAGAAAGTTTGCGACTATAATGAAGACGCCAAACCCCTTTTTAAAACACAGTAATATAAAAAATTCCGAAAATGGTAGTTAATGGTTTAAAAGTGCTTGCCAGACAAGATTATTGCCTGGTGTTTTAGTCAGAGTAATTTATGAATAACCATAGGAAGCTAATGGAAGCTGATGACTTCATGGATTGATCCTGTTTTCTAGTGTAACCAACCAAAGATTGATTAACATACTTGGAACTCAAATGACTTCACTTCGTCGAAAAAGACACTTACTGAATAGGATTTTGAAATGCTGTTCGTATTCAGAAGTATAAACTCATAAGTCAGAGAATATTAAACGTCACCGTCAACCGATGCAGTTATGTACAATTATAATTCATCTCCGTACATAAAGGCTACTTTGACACTATTGCACTTTCAACGAGGGCGACTAAAAGACTTGTTTGTTAACAAACCAGATGGGAATGTTTCGCATAAAAAAAGCCACTAGGAAAATAATTTTGGGCAAACTGAATTGCCATATTGTTAGTGGGACATAGATGAAATTAAAGCATGATTACGTCACTGCGCGCTGATTGGCTAATTTCCTACCCAATCAGCGCCTGATCGAAGCTTGGAGAACAGGATAGAAAATTCTCGTATTATTAGCTGCATGCTGATTGGTCAAATCCAGCCCAGTCGATCACGTGAATTTTCTTCCAGAAGTTTTCTCATGTAAAGGCTATAAATAGACTAGCATTGTATTTATCTTTGCCTTCTAGCCTTCTTCGCCTTCTTGCCTTGGCTTTCGCCATCACCTCCAGCTTCTTTTCCTTGCTATTTTGGAATACAATCCTTCCTGTTCAACCGTGTTCTGATTTGTGTTACTTGTCCAGTGTTTTGTGTCAAGAATACTAAGCAATAAGATTTAGCCGGGAAATATCTTAAGTAACCGTTACAACAGTGGCGACGGAGAAAAAGGAAAAAAATTTCAAGATGCCTATTTCAGATGATCAGCTTAACCGAATACTACAACAACAGCAAGCACAATTAGATGCACAAATGCGGTTGTTGGAGACCCTAACTCAACAACTCAACATCCAGTGTTCGAGTCCACATACTGTTTCAAATACGTCTTGTGAAGCAGTCGCTAACAGCATACCAGAATTCGTCTATAATCCTGAATGTGGAAATACTTTTCTGACGTGGTTCAAACGTTGGGAAGATACATTTAGAATTGAATTCGGTAAACAAGATGATGCTTGGAAGACTCGGCTGTTGCTGCGTAAGTTGGGAAGCAATGAGTATGAACGTTACGCTGACCATATATTACCGAAGCTACCTCGAGAGCTCAGTTTCGAGGAGACAGTAACTCAGCTGTCAGATATTTTCGGCGAATCAGCATCATTGTTTAGTATTAGATATCATTGTCTAAATCTGGTGAAACACGAAGATGATGAATATGCGGTTCTTGCAGACGTCGTCAACAGAGAATGTGAACGGTTCAAGTTACGCTCGTTGACGGAAGACCAATTTAAATGCTTAATATTCATCAAAGCTCTTCAGTCACCGCAAGATGCTGAAACCAGAACTAGACTTTTGATTCGAATGGACCAAGACCCTAACGTCACACTCAGAACATTCACAGATGAGTGTAAACGCCTACAAAGTATCAGGCACGACAACATGTTGATTGAACAGGTAAATCACAATTTAACCAGCAGTAGTGTCAATGCTATTACTAGGTTAAAAGTCCAGAAGCCGATAGCATCTCGTAACAAACCAACGACGGCATGTTGGTTATGTGGTGATTGGCACTACGTACGATTTTGTCCATTTAAAAAACATAAATGTCAGATGTGCCATAAACGTGGACATAAAGAAGGCCATTGCCAACCAGATCGTACGTCTCAGCCCAAGAAGAAGCGCAAACGTACTCGACATGTGGTGAAATCAGCCGAGTCTAAATCACTTTCTCTTGTAGCTGCTTTTCAAACAGACTATGACGTTCGGAGAAAGTATGTTACTATCCAGATGAACGGTGCATCAGCTCGTTTCCAAATCGACACGGCATCAGATATCACCTTAATGTCTAGAGAAACGTACAACATGCTGGGAAAACCGCCAATGAAGCCATCTAAGAAAACAGCTAAAAGCGCTTCAGGTGGTGTGTTAAAACTGGTTGGTGAGATACACTGTGAATTTTCCTTCAACGGAACTAAATGTACAGGTATATGCTATCTGACAGAACGGCCAAACCTTGATCTTCTTGGTCTAGATATGCTAGAAAAGCTGGGAATAATGGATGTACCCATTAACAGTGTCTGCAACATATCGTGTTCATCATTGGATACCCCGATACTTAAAAAGAAGACAGGTGAAAGATTACGTGAAAAACTGAAGGAAAAGTTTGCCTCTGTTTTTCAGAATAACCTTGGCCTCTGTACCAAGATGAAAGCTCACTTACCATTGAAATCAGATGCGAAACCTATTTTTCGTCCGAGACGTCCTGTACCATATGCCACTCTTGAGCTAGTCGATCTGGAACTTAATCGCTTACAACAGGCCGGGGTAATTCAACCAGTCAATTACTCTTCATGGGCTGCACCGATCGTAGTGATTAAGAAAGCTAATGGAACTATACGCATTTGTGCCGATTTCTCAACTGGTTTAAATGCTGCATTGGATGTGTATCAGTATCCGTTACCAGTTCCTGAAGATCTGTTTGCCAAGCTTAATGGTGGTACATGTTTCGCGAAAATAGACTTTTCCGATGCCTATCTACAAGTAGAAGTAGATGAAGATAGTAGAGAGCTCCTGACTATTAACACCCATCGAGGGCTATTTCAATACACTCGTCTACCATTTGGCATCAAGACCGCACCGGCTATCTTTCAGCAAATAATGGATACGATGCTAACAGGTATACCTGGGACAGCAGCTTATCTAGATGATATCATAGTTATGGGTTCAAGTGACAGTGAACTGTCAGATCGACTACATCAAGTCCTTAACCGAGTGTTGGAGTATGGTTTCCAACTACGTGAAGAAAAGTGTATCTTCTTCATGCATTCGATCAAATACCTTGGTTTCATCTTAGATAAGAACGGTCGCCGACCAGACCCAGCCAACATCGAAGCCATTCAGAAGATGCCTGCACCAACTGATGTCTCTTCATTAAGATCTTTCTTGGGGCTAATCAGTCATTACAGCGCATTCCTGCCTGAAATGCATCGAGTGAGAGGTCCTTTGAATGAATTACTATCAAAAGATAAACCTTGGCAGTGGTCAGCAGAATGTCAAGCATCTTTCGATAAAGTCAAGTCGATGCTCAGCTCAAAGCTTCTTTTGACACACTTCGACCCCAGCTTGGGTATTGTCGTTGCATCTGACGCCTCTAGTTATGGAGTTGGAGCAGTAATATCTCATGTGTTTCCGGATAAATCAGAGAAAACAATTGCCCATGCTGCCAGATCTCTCACCCCAGCCGAGCGAAATTACAGTCAAATTGAGAAAGAAGCTCTTGCAATTATTTTCGCTGTCAAAAGATTTCATAAAATGCTCTATGGGCGTAAGTTTACGCTACTGACAGATCACAAGCCTTTGATTGCAATCTTTGGTTCTAAGAAAGGAATCCCTGTCTATACGGCTAATAGATTACAGCGCTGGGCAACGATGCTCCTGAGTTATGATTTCAATATCAAGTATCAGTCGACAAATACTATCGGTCAAGCGGACGCTCTCTCTCGATTAATTGGGGTTCAGCATCCTGAACCAGAGGACATAATCATTGCCTCAACAGCAGTAGACCCAGAAATAAGGAGTGTAGTAGCAGACGCCATTCGAAACACTCCAGTGTCGTCAGAGGAAGTCAGAGAAGAAACTCTTCGAGACCCACTTCTACAAGAAGTTAGAAAGTTTCACCTGGAAGGTTGGCCTTCGAAGATCAACTCTTCAGAGCTTCAACAGTTTTACCAACGTAGACTCTCTCTTTCAATCATCGACGACTGCCTGCTGTTTGCCGAACGAGTCATAATCCCAGCGAAGCTACAACCAGCAGTGCTAAAACAGTTGCACGTGGGACATCCTGGAATAAATCGCATGAAAGCACTAGCACGAAGTTATGTATACTGGCCGCACTTAGACACCCAGCTAGAGCAGCTATCCCGTTCGTGTACCAAATGTGCATTAGCAGCAAAAGCACCGCGCAAAGCAGAGTTGCAATCATGGCCAATACCACAGTCACCGTGGCAGCGTATACATTTGGACTTTGCTGGTCCACTTCATGGACAAACTTACCTTTTGGTAGTTGATGCATACAGTAAGTGGCCAGAAATTTTCTTGATGAAACACCCAACTGCAAGTTGTACAGTCAGTAAATTACGTAAACTATTCAGTCGTTTCGGAGTCCCGGAATTGATAGTTACTGACAACGGGACACAGTTTACGTCCGCAGTCTTCTCGCAATTTTGCCGGCAGAACGGAATCTGTCACGTCCGAACACCTCCATTCCATCCGCAATCAAATGGTCAAGTAGAACGCTTTGTGAGCACATTTAAAAATGCTCTAAAAAAATCCAAAGGGGAGGGGACCACCGAAGAGATCTTAGAGAGGTTCCTGCTTATTTATCGCTCTACACCGAACCCTCAGACGATTGACGGAGTCTCACCGGCGGAAGCTCTACTTGGTAGAAAATTACGAACACATTTTGATGTCATCCGTCCTACACCAGCTCTTGAGCCTCAGCGAAACCTGTCGATGTAGAAGCAGTTCAATCGACACCATGGGGCAAAAAGACGATCGTTCACAGTGGGCCAGAAGGTACTTGCTATGGACTATCGTGGAAAACATCCTGCATGGACAGCTGGTCGGATTTTAAAAAAGAAAGGAAATGTGACTTATGAGGTGTCAGTTGGCTCAGAAGTTTGGGTACGTCATGCTAACCAACTGAAAGAAACTGCGATAGCCAGCGACGGGACTCGGCACAGAATACCCCTCGACGTTCTGCTAGACACCTTCAAAATCAAAACGCCTGGAACACACAAGTCAGTTTCTGTGCAAGCAAAGAGTGACACAACTTCCTTATTGCCGAGAAGATGGACTAATCGAAAGTACAAGCCAGTTTCTCGGTTGCAGTTGGACCCTAGCACCAGATCCTACGAATCTTCTCAAAGGGGAGGTGTTGGTGTGACATAGATGAAATTAAAGCATGATTACGTCACTGCGCGCTGATTGGCTAATTTCCTACCCAATCAGCGCCTGATCGAAGCTTGGAGAACAGGATAGAAAATTCTCGTATTATTAGCTGCATGCTGATTGGTCAAATCCAGCCCAGTCGATCACGTGAATTTTCTTCCAGAAGTTTTCTCATGTAAAGGCTATAAATAGACTAGCATTGTATTTATCTTTGCCTTCTAGCCTTCTTCGCCTTCTTGCCTTGGCTTTCGCCATCACCTCCAGCTTCTTTTCCTTGCTATTTTGGAATACAATCCTTCCTGTTCAACCGTGTTCTGATTTGTGTTACTTGTCCAGTGTTTTGTGTCAAGAATACTAAGCAATAAGATTTAGCCGGGAAATATCTTAAGTAACCGTTACAACACATATGTTATCATATTTGTGGAAATGTTAACAGACAGCTTGAGAAAGATAAACCGATTACCTTTCAATGCGATTGTAAGAAAAAATCAACTGTGTTCTAATGTCCTTTGTGCAAGTTTTGGCAGACTATAACTGATTTATCTCTTTAAAATCGACTTCTCGGATATTAGATCAATATTTGGACAGTTACAAGGAACCTCTAGGTTATATACTACGAAATTAAACGAAAGTGGGGATAAGTTACCGTAGTGAAAATTACTTGGTGTTACCACAGCTACTATCTTGACGTGGAGGTTGGGCTTACCTACGGAGAAGGATAAGACTAGAAGCGGAAACTTAGAGTCTGAGGGTGAAATCGTACTGCTGACTGTAGAGAGGTGTGTTGGTAGTAAGGTGTTTCCCTCAGACAAACATCTGTAGCGATGCTGCCTTCACACAACCAAAGAAAAAGGTTATAAAGGGTTGATCATAAAAATGTCACAGCTCTTCTGACCTCGCGGATTTCCGTCTCCACTGGTAAGGCCTTTTGAAAAGCGAAGCTAACGCTTCAAGAACTAACCATAAAACGGTCGTTCGTGACCAGTCATAAGCATCTGTCCCTTGGATTCTACGAACACGCTCCCAGGTTGCTAAGACCAACGCTAACCCAACATCGTTTTCAGGATCCTCAACAAGCACCCACGATGTGGGCATCTGGGAAGTAACATCTGCTCTCACACCTGTAGTCGCACAGTAGATCACACTAGCTCACGCCGCTGATGCAAACGATTAAAGTACACAAAATGTTACTTCTGATCTCCTGAAACCACGCCCTAAACTACACGTTAGAGCTTTTATTGTTCGAACGTCGTAGTAAATGTGACAACAGGCTTCCTCAGCTAGGACTCTACAATCTCGCGCCATCGTTGTATGCTGCGTCTCTGAAACGTACACACAGGATCCGAGTAGAGTCATTCATTTGACCTCACCTTGTCAAAATAAAGGATCATATCAATTTACGCTTCATGTACCTGAGGTCCCCACAACTAACATCCATGATTTCGCTGGTGTAGGTATAACATATATATTATATATATATAACGTATAACTACCTCTCCTAGACCGGATCCCAATAGATATTTGCTTGTGCATAGTTCAACAAAATGGGACGGTAAGAGCTCGGAGAGATAAGGACACTCACTACTGCCTCTTCATTGTCTCTGTCTACGCTCCGACTGATTTGCAGCTCAGATGAGTTAAAAGATGAATTTTACAGAAATCTTTCAAACAACCTCCGAAAGGTTAAGCGCTCTGATGTAGTAGTAATGGTTGGTGACTTTAGTACTCAAGTAGGTAGACTAAGCGAAAACGAAAGACCTGGGTTGATCCTGTGATGTCGCGGCTAATCAAACAAATGATAGTAACCGTCTGCTGCAGCTATGCCCAGAGAACCGCCTATTTCTAGCAAATACTAACTTTAAGCACAAAGAAAAACATCTTTCGACATGACGACCGCCTAATTCGTCCCGACGTTGGACCCAACTAGACATCGCTATTAGCCACTGAAGGAGGGGCTCGACAGAAAACTGTCATTCGTCCTGGAGCACATATTATATTTAGGTCATGCTCTAGTACGAGTGCGTATTTATTTGCGTCTTATTGGACGTCGGGACGACACTGCAAGACAACCTTTTAGGGTTCTACTCAATAATGGCAAAGATAAGAATATATTACAGGAATAACTAGAAAAATAGACGGCCATGTAAGTAATGCTTAACGTGAGGCATCCTGGAACGACATTTAAAAAGCTGTGGAAACAGCAGTAATATCTGTTAGTAAGGTGAAATAAGGTTATGGAGAAGCAGTGGATCTCAGTAGCGTCTACCGAGCTGGTAGATGCTCGAAAACACACTATCTGTTTGGTAGCAAAAGCAAGAGAGAATGAAAAAGCAGCCACGATAGGTAACAGTAGACAACTGCTCCAAATTATCAACGAAATCGGTATTAGGAATCCGACTGTTAGCTAAACTATCTCGGAAAAGGTTGGGAATACTATTCATTCTCAATCCAGATTAGATCGATGGGCAGAACACTTTAGGGAAAAGTTCAACTGGCCTTTGGCCCACGATCTCCAGTCAACCTAAATGGCTAGTTGATATCATCCGACTCTTAGTGAAGTTGAAAAAGCTATGAGAAATCTGAAGCGGGGGAGAGCGGCGGGCCCTGACAGGCTAACCTTTGAGATTTTGAGCAGTGAGGCAGAGGTAGAATCTGGAAACTGGACGAAATCCCACCTGACCGGCCTCGATCACTGACTGTTTCAGTCTATGAGGACAAAAGCCCTCTTGTGATAATCACAGAGGAGTTAGTTTGACCAATATAGCATCTAAGATATTGGCTTCAAATAGACTCCAACGCCTAACTAGGGCTCGTGAAGAGCTAGTTACAAACCCGGACGTGGCTGTATAGTGCAGACATTCACACTACTTTAGATCCTAGAACACAGACACACGTTTAGACGTCCCAGCCTTAAGGCAGCATTTGACTGAAGATCGTGAGGTTCTTTGGCAGTCTGTCACTGAGGGTACCAAAGAAGTAAACCAACCTTGTACGGGTTCGCGAGTCGGACACTAGTAGCTGAATTAGAGATTATGGCGAACTGTAATCAGAATTGATTACTCCAAGTGTGTACGTCAAGGTTGTCTACCTTTCTCCTTACTCAACTTCCTCATTGACATGCGTTCAGAGACGACACTTTCATTATCTGACTTTAGTTGATCACCTAAATGAGAAACCTACCCGATTCTTGGGATGATTAAAAGCCCCACTTAGACATCCGACGGTTAACTGGAAGATTTTAGTCTACATAGGTTTGTAATGCGAAACCCAACATAACAGAATACTACACTGTAATAAGCATAATACTGAACAGAGCCATTACTTTGTTCCCATGGATTGAGATGACCAGTGCCCTTCCTAGTCATGCGACAGCGCAACATCATGAGGTAAGACCGATCAAAACAGTCATTTCACTGGATAGCTAAGCAACAAACCGAATTGTAGTATCCATGGGACAAAACTACCACTTTGGTCAGGAACCTATTATTTTTAGTGGTCAATAAAGTTTCGATGGGTTGCTTTTGTCGAAAACCAACCAGAGGGTTACTAAAGTAGCATGATAGCATGTCAAAAAAAGTATGTGTGCTTAAAATGTGAAATAAAGCATCGTAATAAACCAAAACAGCCATAAATCGCCATGGAATTACAGTTCGAAAGGTAGCACTGATTGAAATGAAAGCTCGTTATCAAGAACTCACTAGATGTCGTGGTCCCTCCATGTGAAGGTCCTGTTTTTTGGTAGCACCTAGAACATGAAATATTGCAAGTCAAATCAAACCTTCATCCTCCAACATAGCCTCGTTCTCTTTGATAATGTTTTCAAGCGCTGTCTTAACAGTTTCATCATCCCGTTGGGTTGATTGGTCGATTTCCTCAGAAGTAGCACCTAAAGTACCCTCTTCACCCACTTTTTCTTTCTTTTTTCTGTACTCATTTAGCAAATCCTCAGTTTTCGGGTCAACTTTTACCTAGCAAGGGAATCAAAGAAACTTTGAACTTACTAAGAGATTCTTAGGTCCGACTTTAAATCCATTTAAGAGACGTACGCATCTCATGGTGGACTCCGGGTCTTCATATTCACAAAATCCGAAAGCCTGGAGTTTACCAGACGCTCCTTGAACTCGCTTCCAGCTAAGGATATTTCCGCAACGCTGCGACAATTACGAATACAATCACTTTGAAACGTAAATTACCATTAAAAGTGTTTTAATAAGTTGATCAGGAGCACATTCAGCTATATTACCGACAAAGACAGTAGTGACTGGAGGCTTTTCCCTTACATACTGCAAGCACAAGTTAGTCACACATTACAACATACAATTGGAGTTTCAGCAACGGGAGTCACGACCGGTGCAGCGACATTTGGTGGTGGGATAACCGTAGGTACAGTAACTAATGGAGGAGGGGGTATGGCCATGGGTGCCATAGGAGTAATGCCGACAAATCCTATTTTATAAGACAAGTAGTTAAAATCACTGACCATAATACTGAGGAGCTAAACCGAAATAAGGATTATGTGGATACATCGTACAGCACAATCTAGTCAAATGGAGGAACTTTAGAAGTGATGCAGACTAACAAATATCACTTCACTAATTTCAATAAAATGTAATCTTCAAACTATGGACTACATAACTAGCTAGCAGGATGTTTATTGGGTTACGAGTTTCTGGTACCTAAAATAACTCAAGAATATGTGTGCCTGTATGTATTGGATTGTGAAATCCAGACTTCGATGAAAAGTGGAGAACGATTAGTATCAGAAGACTATTCTTGGTTATAGGCTGGCATGGATCTTATTATGCATCTTCTGAACCTAAAAGTCAAAAAACTTCCCAAAATGAAACAAGTGATCAAGCAGCAACACTATCTCCATTAGAATCAATGGGATTAAAGTTAGATCTGAGACTTCGTTATCGCTGACAGTGGAAAATTCCACAACCCATATATTCTAACCATGAAAGTGCGTGCACGGAGTTTCATATCCTATTCTAAAGAGACATACTTTAGGTGTTTGGTCAAATAATTGGTTTGTCGGCATGAGGTGAATTACGAAAAATCTAAGAGATCATTACTATATCCGGTATCGTTCATCTATTATCCAAGCTCTGTAAATGTAGTGCCCCCGAGTCAGCTGAGAGAGGTTTATTTTTTACTTCAAGTACCTTTATGTCCGCCGTTCTTTGAACAAATTAAAAGGGGACGATATCTTTCTAAACAATAGTAATAATATAATAAATTTCTTGGGATATAATGCTAAGTATTTTTCTAAGTAAGGCCGTTAAGAAGCACAAATTACTCACTTACTACTTACCTACACCTGTTACCCTCCTGTAGCATAGGCCATGGACCAGCATTCTCCAACCTTCTCTGTCCTGGGTCATTCTAGTTCTATGCAACTGTTCTGACCAACTGATCCGCATTATCATGCGTAGAAAACTGTTAATCACTCTCACCTTGGGGATTATGGTTTTCTTGGAGCTCCGAGTTTCCGCTACAGGCAGTAGACTTTGGTACTGGCCGACAGATGTTTTGAGTCACAGACGTTCTATTGTGGAAGTGCTGCCCTTGATTTACCGGTTCGCACGTTCACATCTGCATCCACGTTGTTCTTCAATGATTCTGCCCAGATATGTAAAGCGTCATTTGGTTGTTCGACGCTGTGTTGTGTCGGAGAATCTTGCTTTTCCCTTTGTGTATGTTGAGACCTTTTGCTGCTGAAGCTACTACTACAGTGGTCTTTTTCTCTTGCATCTGTTGTTGCGTGTGCGATAGAAGAGTCAGGTCATCCGCAAAGTTCACGTCGTCCAGCTGCATCCTAGCTGCTCACTGTAATCCGTGCTTAACGTCTTCATAATCTAGTCGATCGTTAGGAGGAAGAGAAAGGGTGGGAGTTAGCGACGTTGTCTGACACCAGTCTTCACTTGGAAAGAGTCTATGAGCTGTCCTCCGTGCACTATTTTATTTTTTAATGCGTCCTAAGAATTCTGTATGATTTAGACTATCTTCTCAGGCACGCCGTACTGTCAAAGAAGCCTTCATAGTGTTGCCCTGTCCACAATGTCAAACGATTTTTCGTAGTCAGTGAAACTGATATAGAATGGTCAGTTCGATTCAAATGATCGTTCCACAATGATCTGTAATGATGCGATTTGGTCGGTACCTGATCGACCTTTACGGAGTCCTGCCTCCTGACCTGGAAGTTCGGCGTTCATAGATTACCTCATTCTGTGTAACACTACCCTGTTGAGGACTTCCCCTGGTTTTGAGGGCAAAGTTTGGTCTCTGTTGTTCTCATGTAGTTGACTTCACTTACATCAAGAGAATGCGACTGATTTAGTAGAAACATTCATTATTATAACCATTTGTACCAGTGATTGTTTCACTGCACCTTTTGTCTATTACGTTTTGTAGGCGCAAACTTTCGGTTTGTGTAGCTGCCGTTCTGTCTCCACTCTCTTTGTAATTTCCCTCTTCTTTTCTGGCACGGTTTCGTTACTCTTTCGATACCACGAAATCACCAGCAAATATGCACTCGTACGAAGTAACTTTTCTTTTTTGACGGGAACGTAACTGGTCTGTAGTGCTGATCTTAGTCAATCTCGACTCACACCACTACACTGACACCTGCTATGATCTCCTTTCTTTGGTATGTTAGTGAGATATGCCTATTTCTAGTCTGTTGTTACATGTCTTTCCTCCCAAACATCTTTGCAGCTATATTACGTTTGCCTACAATGTCTCTACTGGAATGTCTCGTTGCTCTGTTTTGCCGCCGACGATTTGTCTGATGGCCACGCTGATCTCTCTAGTTGTTGGCTGGTCAACATCGATTTGGATGTCCGTGCTTGCTGTTTTGACGTTGTTTAGATTCATTGGAGCTGGTCTATTCAATGATTCTTCAAGTTGTTCTATCCACCTGTTTCTCTGTTCTTTAATGTTGATGACTGCTTCGCCTTCAATGCTTTTCACTGGTCGTCTTAGTTTACTATATTTTAAAGCGAGTGTCTTTGTTGTATCATACAGTTGTCTCATTTTTCTTTCTCTTGCACCTATTTCTGCTATTACTGCCAGATCTTCCACATATTTACGTTTGTAGCTTTATTGATCCTCTTCACTTGCTTGCTTGCTCCTGTATATTTAGCTTGTGTTTTGGCTTTCCCTGCCTTTGTCTCATGTTGATTGGTACCTGCTTGTTCTCCCCTTCTTTAATCTTATCCAGTGTATCTACAGTGATTCATTCCTTGTGATGGTACGACTTGTGACCCAGAACCTGATAACACGTTGATCTTATTGCCTTCTTGATCCTTTTCTAGTTGTTTTTCACCGTAGTTTCCTTTCCCTTGAATAGTTCATGAGAGGCCTGGAATCTTTTGATGGGGGCCATCTTACATTCATTGAATTTGTCATTATACCGAATAAAGGCTGTATTAAACTTTTGTTATGTCCGCCCCGTTGTCCAGTGTTTCTTGAGTTTCAGTTTCATCTTAACAACCAGCATGTGATGATTTGAGGCTATATCAGCCACTCTTTTGGTTCTCATGTCCTCTATTGTCCTCCTGAAACTTTTAAGGGATTCAGATACGGTCGATTTGATTCTGCGACGCAGTACAGTGAAATCATTGTGTTTATATGAAGGCGTTTATGTGGGAATATGGCGCCGCATAAGACCAGTTTGTTGAAGGCATCTAAATTCCCAAATCTTTCACAATTTTTGTTTCTCTCCTCCTAGTCCATGTCGTCTCACGGTGTCTGTAGTTGAGTTTTCTATCGTAGCAGTTCAATTCGATTCCAATAGACGTATGTCGAACGCACCTTCCCTTAGTCGAATATCAAAACACAATAATTCTAGGAGAAAGTGGTCTATTTATATAAAAGAAATGGAAATACAAACGTTTACCTGACAGTTGTTACGTCTTCCAAGTCAAAATTACTCTGATGAGTATCCAAGTTTAAAGGACTAGGTGAAGCTAGTATACTGCGATGATATCAAATCCAAAAATGTGGCTGTAGCCATATCATATATCAAATTTAAACAACATGTGTACAGTTCAGAAGCAAACATAAAAACTCAAATATAAGTACAAAATATAGAAATAATAACAATATACAATGATAAAATCTCAAAATGGAATCAAATAGAGTACCAAAATGACAATAGAAAGAGTCAGTCATTGGATGAAGTTGATCGACTAGTCACTATAGATGGATTGCTCACACTTTCTGTCTCTTTACTATTGCTGTCACTACTAAGATTCTGATGACTACTATTTCCATTGATAGTCATAGCATCCGAAAGAGAACGAAGTTTACGCTTCTTAATAATAGTAGCATCATGTTGTTTCCTATGCTTCTTAGCTTGGGTAGCAGCATATGAGCGTAACGTACGATCATTTCGACGTCGATGAGTGTCTTTCAACTTCCATCGATCACTATTACTCGCAGGAGTATCATCAATGCTATTATCATTAGTAGCCGCAGCTGTACAAGCAATAGTACACTTCTCATGACATCCAGTCGACTCATGCACAGTGGCTAACTCTACTCGATCAACATTGCTTTCCTTACTAGGATACGCATCAAGCGGTTTTAAATCATCGCGGTCACATACTCGGTTTTCAACGTGGTATACTTTTCCAATACAATTGACAACTCTCTGAAATTCCGGGTGTGAGTTAGGTGTAAACGAAGAATCCTCATGTCTCGCACGCAGATCACTAATAGCTTCCGTATCATGTCCTGTTTTAGCACGATTAGCTAATCTTCCGAACCTACTACTAGCTATCTCAGCACGAGACATAATAAAATCCGTCAATTCATTGAAATTAGGTTCGCTTTCCTCTTCGTCCCACTTGATTCCCAGCTCTGCCCACTGGGCTTGCATTCGATGAGGTAAGAGCCTAACTATTCGTTCTAAAGTAACCAGGGAATTAAGTTCCGTTGTACAATCTAACTGTTCTAAGGTTAGAGCAACATTCTGCATTTTAATCGCCAAATTCGTCAATTGTTCAGGATCATTATAATCTGCATTCCCTGTTCTAAATAAGTCCTCCAAAGTTTCACGGGCTATCACATGCGACTGTCCAAAGAGCTGCTTTAAAATAGCCTTAGCTCTCTTATATCCCACTTGTGGATCCATTATAAGGCAATCTTCAATCGCGTTTCTTGCTTTTCCTTTACAGTAGTGAATTAAATATAATAAACGCAAATTATCATCCTTTACTCTAGGTTCTATAAACGATTCAAACTGCTTAATGAATCTAAAGTAGTCGCGGGGTTTGCCGTCAAAGAATAAAAGTTCAACCTTAGGTAATTCAAAGCCTACTATCGGTGTCCTAAGCATCTGATCCTTCTCTGGTACCTTAGAATTCTCACCCAAATTTTGTTCCTTAATGCCTTCTAAGGGTAACTTACAATAATAAGTATCGAACGTAACATCATCATGGGTAGAAAGGGAACCCATTAAACAAGAATCATTAACGACTTGCCTAGCATTTCGGGATTCTTCATGCTCTTCCACCCTCTTCGTGTTTGTTTTCTTACGGTTGCTCATGGTTAATTGAAGTTCAACGGAAGATAAATAACAAATACAAAATCTAGAAATTCCACCGGTAAATCCTCGTTAATGAAAATCCAAAATCAGAAAATCGTTTTCCGAAATACAGTTTGATCACAAAAAAACGATAAGTAATCCAAAGTTCTTCTTCCAAGAAGTTTAATATTATAAACGCTTAAAATCCCAAATGTTTCCTTATTCTTCTTAATAATCAGACTGTAGTAGGCTTGTTCTTCCTAATTGTCAGACTGTAGCTGACTCGTTCTAATCAATTGTCAGACTGTAGTTGAATTTTCTATCGTAGCAGTTCAATTCGATTCCAATAGACGTATGTCGAACGCACCTTCCCTTAGTCGAATATCAAAACACAATAATTCTAGGAGAAAGTGGTCTATTTATATAAAAGAAATGGAAATACAAACGTTTACCTGACAGTTGTTACGTCTTCCAAGTCAAAATTACTCTGATGAGTATCCAAGTTTAAAGGACTAGGTGAAGCTAGTATACTGCGATGATATCAAATCCAAAAATGTGGCTGTAGCCATATCATATATCAAATTTAAACAACATGTGTACAGTTCAGAAGCAAACATAAAAACTCAAATATAAGTACAAAATATAGAAATAATAACAATATACAATGATAAAATCTCAAAATGGAATCAAATAGAGTACCAAAATGACAATAGAAAGAGTCAGTCATTGGATGAAGTTGATCGACTAGTCACTATAGATGGATTGCTCACACTTTCTGTCTCTTTACTATTGCTGTCACTACTAAGATTCTGATGACTACTATTTCCATTGATAGTCATAGCATCCGAAAGAGAACGAAGTTTACGCTTCTTAATAATAGTAGCATCATGTTGTTTCCTATGCTTCTTAGCTTGGGTAGCAGCATATGAGCGTAACGTACGATCATTTCGACGTCGATGAGTGTCTTTCAACTTCCATCGATCACTATTACTCGCAGGAGTATCATCAATGCTATTATCATTAGTAGCCGCAGCTGTACAAGCAATAGTACACTTCTCATGACATCCAGTCGACTCATGCACAGTGGCTAACTCTACTCGATCAACATTGCTTTCCTTACTAGGATACGCATCAAGCGGTTTTAAATCATCGCGGTCACATACTCGGTTTTCAACGTGGTATACTTTTCCAATACAATTGACAACTCTCTGAAATTCCGGGTGTGAGTTAGGTGTAAACGAAGAATCCTCATGTCTCGCACGCAGATCACTAATAGCTTCCGTATCATGTCCTGTTTTAGCACGATTAGCTAATCTTCCGAACCTACTACTAGCTATCTCAGCACGAGACATAATAAAATCCGTCAATTCATTGAAATTAGGTTCGCTTTCCTCTTCGTCCCACTTGATTCCCAGCTCTGCCCACTGGGCTTGCATTCGATGAGGTAAGAGCCTAACTATTCGTTCTAAAGTAACCAGGGAATTAAGTTCCGTTGTACAATCTAACTGTTCTAAGGTTAGAGCAACATTCTGCATTTTAATCGCCAAATTCGTCAATTGTTCAGGATCATTATAATCTGCATTCCCTGTTCTAAATAAGTCCTCCAAAGTTTCACGGGCTATCACATGCGACTGTCCAAAGAGCTGCTTTAAAATAGCCTTAGCTCTCTTATATCCCACTTGTGGATCCATTATAAGGCAACTTCAATCGCGTTTCTTGCTTTTCCTTTACAGTAGTGAATTAAATATAATAAACGCAAATTATCATCCTTTACTCTAGGTTCTATAAACGATTCAAACTGCTTAATGAATCTAAAGTAGTCGCGGGGTTTGCCGTCAAAGAATAAAAGTTCAACCTTAGGTAATTCAAAGCCTACTATCGGTGTCCTAAGCATCTGATCCTTCTCTGGTACCTTAGAATTCTCACCCAAATTTTGTTCCTTAATGCCTTCTAAGGGTACTTACAATAATAAGTATCAACATAACATCATCACGGGTAGAAAGGGAACCCATTAAACAAGAATCATTAACGACTTGCCTAGCATTTCGGGATTCTTCATGCTCTTCCACCCTCTTCGTGTTTGTTTTCTTACGGTTGCTCATGGTTAATTGAAGTTCAACGGAAGATAAATAACAAATACAAAATCTAGAAATTCCACCGGTAAATCCTCGTTAATGAAAATCCAAAATCAGAAAATCGTTTTCCGAAATACAGTTTGATCACAAAAAAACGATAAGTAATCCAAAGTTCTTCTTCCAAGAAGTTTAATATTATAAACGCTTAAAATCCAAATGTTTCCTTATTCTTCTTAATAATCAGACAAACGATATGACTCCACGAATATCTTAACACAAATACATAAACATGGAGGTATTTTCCAAAAAACAAAACATTCAAAAAAGTTTCTACAGTGTCTACCATATGGAATGTTGTCCATGCGGTCGCCGATACTAATATCTCCCATCAAAATTCTCAAGCCCTTTGTTGGAGGTCTCTGGAGGCCGACTGGAGCACCTCGTACAATTAATCTTTAACTTCTAAGGCACAAAATAATTTTCCGAATGTTTATATAGTAGGTAGGTAAGGTTATCTAAGGTTCTTTAAGGAAACACTTACTAATTTAGTTCGTTATTGCTACAAAGGTACAGTCAGAGCTGGCTGGCTGTTTTTGTTTTGTTACCATTTTCATTCATACACCATTTCCATATGGATGAACAACGGCGAACAGCAAAAGTGTACAAAGATGTTGCTAACTCGGTGGAGTAATTAGAGAGATTGCATTATTAAGTTTGGAAGTTTTTACAAGGAAGTCTTCACTAAGACTTATTAGAGTGATTTGAGTGGTTTCGCCGTTAAGTGAGTTGATGGTTGTTGTAAAGTAACGAGGGTTCAGAACTTGATATAAACCGTGAAATTAACGAAAGCTTACGTTAAGTATGTAGTTCCCGTTGGGAGGGATTCTTCATATATACATGAAACAAAAATGGCTATAAAACAAAAAACGAAATGAAGAGGATCAGTGTAATACAAATACCCAACATCGCTTATTATTTGCTAAATAACAAACACATTTATATTTCATTAGTAAGTATAGCTCATGCTTGCCTTCAGGGATGCTATGCAGGAAAAAAGCTGGCAAATATGTCAAAAAAATGGAAAACAATTTTTGCCAAATACGAAAATTTGGAATATGTCTAAATAGTGTGCGGGAAGCTAGAAGGTTGTTCGTGAATTTTGAGTAGGTATCAAGAAAGTCAGTAGTCTTTAGGAACTAAAGTAACGCTATCATTCATCATTTATCGTTTACCCTTCTGTTTTCGTCAAGTTTCAGTACCTTTATTTGTGATGTGAGGTAACTGAAATGGAGCGTATCACTCTAATCGTATAATGAAACAGATATGAAATTTCGAAAAATTGTAAGAACTAGAAAATATCGGGCAACTACAATATAAACAAATGAATAGTTCAGGAGCAGCCCTAAAGAGTTTAAGACAAACAAGTATTCTGAACTATAGACGAAAATTCCTGGATACTTCACGACACAAACCCATATTTAGCTTACAAAGAGGTCCGAGAGGATAAATGATCACTTGACCAAAGTAACCGTGAGAAGACATTTACGTTCGGAAGTGAATAACACCCTAAAGCTAATAGCTGTGTAGTCAAACAGGAACGATGCAAATATTAATTCGTTTCATGTGGGCAAACAGTTGAAGATCTACGACGAGACATTGTGGTCATTTCCAATCACTCTTGACTCGTGGTGCGTGTAATCCAGATTCCCTGTAAACTTCATGTTGACCCGTCCACACCTATGGTTGGGCAAATTATCCATTCATGCCGTTGTCAATTCTAAACATTTACCTTCTTAGTATCAAAAGTGATGAAATCCGATAGATAAATAATCTGGCTCAACTGTACAGCTGATAATAATAACTTAACCCAAAATAACTGTGTTAAATAAGACACCAGCATACCAGAAAGATCCAACTGTTAAAAGTGCGAAAGTATTTCTTGTAAAAAATTAACAGTTAGATAATTATACCTCTGTTATAACTTTGAAAAACAATAAAATTTTCATAATACCTACTGAAGAATTAAACATATATAGGCGACAAAAAATACTCACTATCATCATCATCATCATCATCATCATCATCATCATCATCATCATCATCATCATCATCATCATCATCATCATCATCATCATCATCATCATCATCATCATCATCATCATCATCATCATCATCATCATCATCATCATCATCATCATCATCATCATCATCATCATCATCATCATCATCATCATCATCATCATCATCATCATCATCATCATCATCATCATCATCATCATCATCATCATCATCATCATCATCATCATCATCATCATCATCATCATCATCATCATCATCATCATCATCATCATCATCATCATCATCATCATCATCATCATCATCATCATCATCATCATCATCATCATCATCATCATCATCATCATCATCATCATCATCATCATCATCATCATCATCATCATCATCATCATCATCATCATCATCATCATCATCATCATCATCATCATCATCATCATCATCATCATCATCATCATCATCATCATCATCATCATCATCATCATCATCATCATCATCATCATCATCATCATCATCATCATCATCATCATCATCATCATCATCATCATCATCATCATCATCATCATCATCATCATCATCATCATCATCATCATCATCATCATCATCATCATCATCATCATCATCATCATCATCATCATCATCATCATCATCATCATCATCATCATCATCATCATCATCATCATCATCATCATCATCATCATCATCATCATCATCATCATCATCATCATCATCATCATCATCATCATCATCATCATCATCATCATCATCATCATCATCATCATCATCATCATCATCATCATCATCATCATCATCATCATCATCATCATCATCATCATCATCATCATCATCATCATCATCATCATCATCATCATCATCATCATCATCATCATCATCATCATCATCATCATCATCATCATCATCATCATCATCATCATCATCATCATCATCATCATCATCATCATCATCATCATCATCATCATCATCATCATCATCATCATCATCATCATCATCATCATCATCATCATCATCATCATCATCATCATCATCATCATCATCATCATCATCATCATCATCATCATCATCATCATCATCATCATCATCATCATCATCATCATCATCATCATCATCATCATCATCATCATCATCATCATCATCATCATCATCATCATCATCATCATCATCATCATCATCATCATCTTCATCATCAAATTGTGATCACGCATCCTATTTTTAATGTTTCAAAAATATTGATGGAAACATAAAATAACGATTATTTTTACGTCATAGAAACATCCTTAGGACAGTCACAGAAATGGCACACTAAAACACACAGTAGCCACTCATGGCCAAGGATTTCTCTGTTTGAAAATGAAATCTCGAGTTCAACTGATAAGCCCATGCTCGCAAACGTGAAATCCAAGATTAGGCACTTGTCAATCAAGTTCTGGGGATCTAACACCCCAACAGACGGTACTGTTGATTTTCAGGACTTCTTATTAATACAATCATTTTGATGAGGAATCAATACCTTAAAAATGACGAGGACAGAAGGTTGAAGTCCAAAAATCTGCTGTAAAGATGATTAATAATAAGTACACGTGTCGGGCGATTCTCCACCGAAAACAACTATCAAGCTTACTTTCTTACTTACTTATGCCTGTTACCCCAAATGGAGCATAGGCCGCCCACCGGTTTTCTCCAACCAACTCTGTCCTGGGCTACTATCAAGCTTAGGAATAAAATATTCAATAATTTAAAGAAGCATGTGGCTTAAAATCGCAATATTTTCATTAGAATATATGTTTTTTTAATTATAAAAGCGGCTTATACAAGTAAATTGTCTATTGCTTGATTGCATTATGCTTTCTGGTTGTTTGTAGAATATACTTTCTACACTTATCAAGACTTCTCTTTTCAGTTTTAGGATCTAGGTAGCCTACCTGGAAGCTGGCTGATTGTCTCGTTCGCGTTTATAGACTAAGGTGAACTCGTAATAGCTTCAAGCGTACCTAGTGACGAAGCTAACAGTTTCGAAGGCGCAGCATACATTGATCACACGGGATCCTTGAGTCCTAATTAAGAAAGCCTGTCGCCTTACTTGACGCAATGTTCGAACACTATATGCTCCAATATTCTGTTGGAGCTGTCATTTCTCGGCTGCCTTTAGCGTGGGAAGGCATTTCTTGAGGAATCTGAAGAGTAAGGTAAATTTGCGTCGGTCTTAGACACCTGGAGGCTTGACCGTAGAGCCGAAGGGACGAGTGCTTGAGGTCGTACAGTCACAGCCTTTTTCTGAGAAGATCTCAAATTCTTAGCACCTCAATTCAATTGACTGTTCTCATTGAGACGCAAATCCGTGAGTAAGGTGAGGTTTCAAGTTTTTAGGATTGACTTTTTCTCAACCCTTGCTTCCTTGTGAGAATGCAGCATTGCTGCTGACTCTGGTTTTCCGATGGACAATCTAAGCCAAAATTGTTTGCTATTATCAATTATTCTTGCTTCGAATTATCAATCAGAATTCCCGGTAGCCTGTCGTTCAATCAACATTAAATAGAACTTTTGCAAAGACCTCTGAAAAATGCGGAATCACGTTCCATCATTCTGATTGCATATTCATCCATACCATTACTGTATTTCGCAAGGGTTCCGAAACTTTCAGAAACGTGAAATCGTGAACTATAAATAGCCTCATTTTCTTGTGTATAAAGTAGCTTTGTAACAGAGCGTTCACCTAGTGCTTCGCTCATTTTCTCTTCTGTTAATTTAGCAGACTTAAGAATTTGAAATATATTTACTGTTACCACAAGATATTTCAGGGTGACTCTGAGTCATCCTTTCACATTCCTAAAATATATTACAATTCACTCCACGAAATACCATTTTTTGTGATTCATCGGTGTGAAATAGAGTCTTATGTTCTCATAACACCGTAGCTTAATGCTATATAATAGTGTGTCAGTTAACTTCTATATTGTGTGGAAATGACTTCAACCTAAAGACACTTCTACTTTGATTCTGTGATGCACAAATATTTATACTTGTCTCTTGGGTGTTTGTGTGTGGTAAACAAATATTCCCTGTAGTTCGAAATCTTTCTTAATCTCTCAATACGAAATCCACCTGGCTAATCTGTTTGTTACATTTACTTCTCTGTCATAGTATAAAACACTATATAAACACTACGTTTGGTCATGTCATAGTGAACGAATGTGAATGTGCTCTTAAATAGCAGACAGGTAAATACATAGATTTACTTTTGTTTCAGTTTGTATTTGTTTAAATTAATTAGGATCATAAAATATTTTAATTAATATATACACAGGTTTCCTATTGTCAGTGGTGATTTGTACACATTCTCATGTTTGCGTAAACATGAATAATCGATCGCATGTTATTGCCCACATATATACTCTCCTCTCAATTGCCAATATGTTAGTTGCTTGAAATACCTGATAAATTATTTGCAACCACTTATATTTATTTCTGTTTAACTCGAATAACTTATTTATGTTAGCATTCTAATATACGTTCACATTAACTTTCTCCGCGTCATTTCTGTCGTGGAATAATCACTTCGTGAAGCCGTACATTAAGTCGTGTTATTGTTTATTATCTGCTCTATGCTAGAATAAAATGAACTCAGGGCAGCGCCTCACGTAGCCTTCTTAAAGTTAGGTAACGCTGTGAGAAATAGTAATAGTGAGTATCAGAACGATCAGTATATTAAGTCTTGATATTATCTCAAAATATTACAGAACCGATTTAACTGGAGGATGTCGATTTGTCAACAAGACGACTGATACTCAAGCAGAAAAATTATCGATTTGAAAAATGTTATTTATTTAAATTTAATGACAACAACAGAGACACATGGGGAATAAAAACAAAGTTTATTTGTAAAGAAACTTTTAAAGTAGCTCCATGTGAATACAATCAACATGAGTTAGGAAGTGTTATAAGCAGATATTTTTATCAAAAAAAAAAACTAGGCAATGTCAGTGAATTTCAGAAAAGCGTAAAATAATCAAATGAACAACAAAAAGAAATAAATTTGTAGGCATTTTAAAACCACCGCAACGAATCTGAAAAGAACAAACAAATAAAAGAAACAAGGCGTAAAATCGTCACAGAAATTTATACCAGGAAACAAAAAAACTTAGTCAAACTCTAAATTGTCACATACAAATCAAATATGATGAACATAAAAACGGCATAAAAACAAAATGCAAGTAAAATAGAATGAAAAAACCGGAAATCGAGTAATAAAAAGATGCCCATGGGCAGTGAGGTCGAATTAAAAAGAATATTGTATAATTCGTGATAATACAAAGATAAAACATATCTATCATAATCACTGATAAGAGAGGAATATAAGATTTCCTGAATATTATTTTAAAAGAAAACTTAACAACAAATAAATTCGAAAGACAATAATTAGTGATTGCGCAAATTATATGAAAAGACATAAAAAGAAAAACTACAGATTGTGCAGAAGTCACAACCTGATCAGTCGATTCCAGTACATTGTGGCTTTTATTGAAATGACGCAGAATGGATATGTCCACTCACAACAAATTCAGATATATACCTCATGTGAACATTGAAATTCACATTGTGTTCATCTCAATCTCTCAACTTTCTCCTTCAACGTTTGTGAGCACACAAAGCAATATCATCATAAAGTGTGCTTGCTCCTCCTAGTTAAAAGTTTCGAAAATGTTGATCAATATTTAGGGGCAACTTTGCAGTTATATTTAACACTTACCATCGCACTTCGCTAAAATAATATAGGTATATATATTGCATTGAAGATAATGCGATGTAGAATCACGTGCTTCTTAAGATTATCGAATATTATATTCGTAAGCATGATAGTTGTTATCGGTGGAGGATCGTTTATCACATGTTCTTGTAGTCAGTCATCTGGACAACAAATTTGTGGACTGTAAACATCTGTTCTCTTCATGTTTGAGATAGTATTATTTCTCACCTAATATAAATAGTAGCTCAGAGAAAGAAACACAGCCGCAATCATACACCGAAAACGCGCGTCTCAGCGCTAATGCGTTATGGCAACGTGAACTGATGTACATGTGTACTAAGTTCCATGTTGTATTTGACTGAATCAAGCTGAATGTATTAATATTAGGTCCTGACAATCAGCAATACCGACTATTATGATTAGCCGGGTGAGCATCTACAATGATGTGACATTGACAGAAAATCTTTTAAATTGAGTATTACTCACATCCTGATCAGTCGATTCCATAACATTGTGCCTATTATTCAATCATACAGTATGGATATATCCACTCACAACAAATTCAGATATATACCTCATGTGAACATTGAAATTCACATTGTGTTCATCTCAATGTCTCAACTTTCTCTTTCAACGTTTGTGAGCAAACAAAGCAATATCGTCATCAAAGCGTGATCGCGCATCCTACTTTACATGTTTCCGATACATTGATCAAGATTTACGAGCAACAGCTGAGGAAAACTCAGAACGTACCATCGCGTCGTTCTATAATAATGGAAATATATATATTGTATTGAAAATATAGCGATATTATATCACATACTTCCTAATAATTATGAATATTATATTCGCAAGCATGATGGTAGTTTCCAATCGGGAATCATCTGTCACAAGTTCCTTGTATCAGTCATCTGTACAACAAATTTGTGGATTGTAAACATTTGTTCTTTTCAGGTAAGAGATATTGATCCTTCCTCACACTGAATGTGTTATTAAGAGGTGCTGACAATTAACAGTACCAACTGTCACGATTTGGCATGTGAGCATATAATATGATGTAATATCGTCGAAAAATCATTTAAATTGAGTAATGCTCACATCCTGATCAATCGATAACATCATCACCCTTTTATTCTTGTTTGTAGCACTGATAATTTGGCTCATGCTGCATTCAGATATATCCCTCTTGTTCACATTGAAGTTTACACTGTGTTAATCTCAATGTCTCAACTTTCTCTTTCAACGTTTGTGAGCACACAAAGCAATAACGTCATCAAAGCGTGATCGCGCATCCTACTTTGCATGTTTACGATATATTGATCGAAATGTGAAACGATATTTTTTCGCATGTCGACAACCTACCTTAACAATTATCTGTAAAATTATGAGTATACATGTTTCATTGAAGTTAATGCGATAATGTATCATATATTTACTAATATTATTGAATATTATGTTTGTATGTATGATAG